TCACAGAAGACCCTCTCCACCTGCATCTGTCCACACAGAATGCAGCCTCTGGCAAAAAAATGCCCCCATAATTTCCTCCGAAAATTACAATTTAGTTAACTAAATGGTTCAAAACAAAATATCCACGCACCGATCGGCCATCGAAAAATGGAAGATAGATTAGCTTAGGGTGGAGGAAGACAAGAGAACCACCCGCAGTTTTTGAAAGGCACTCGAGGGACTCTTGCCGACGACGAACTGTTGTCAACCAGCAGCGGCGAATTCTTCTGCTGACTTTATCGAGGTGAGCAAAAACATTAAGAAATAAGTGTGCTTGCATCACCAGACGACCGAGCAACATACCATCGCCTATGGTGAGTGATAACTAACATTAAGTATTCATTATATTGAAATGATTTTGTTAGCTAACGTTGGTTAGCTCTAATTAGCTATTTAACTAACGTTAGCTACGAAGGTTTGCGTGCAGGAGTGCAGTCGGTGAGAGAAGTTTCCTCTCCTCATTAGTTACTGCCACCTTTTGGTTAACAGCCAGTCCTCTATTTGGGTAAAATACAATTAGTTGAGACTGCAGCTGATTCAAGGTTTAAATGTTTTGTTCTTTGTTTTTACAGAAGCATGGAGTAATCCGCTCAATAACAGAGACAACTGTGGAAGCTGAATCTGATGCAAAGACAGCGTTCTGCAGAATGCTCAAGCCGTTTGACATTTCTTGACATATTGCTTAACACAAGAAACTACAAAGAAATAAAAGTAAAATTTAATGAGTGATTTGTTTTGTTAATTTTGGTTTTAAAAAAAAGAAACACTTTGAATCTGTAGACTACTGCCTAATGGTCGTATTGCTGCCATTTGATGACAAATGCATATACAGGAAGCTCAAATAAGGAGATTTTATTCTTTTTAACCAAGATTAAATGTTATTTCAAAAAATGCCCCCAATTTCTTGTAAAATGCCCCTGGTTTTCAGTCAGTGGGGGCAAACATTGCCCCCTAAATAATATGTACATACCCTGGCATAACCTCATCGGTCATTTAGTGGGAACCACAATTCTCAAACAGTTTGGGGAACAGCCGTTGGCTAAAAAAAAACAAAATACATATCCTTTGCGGCGGTGGAAAGCAAATGAGGCTTGGTATCTCCCTCTGACATTTCTTAGGCAGAGTCTTGCTTGCGTTTGCCTGTTGCATCAACACCTCTTCTCTGCAGCTGGAAACGGTTTCCTGGGACGGGGCCAGGCTAAGTGCAGAACACGAGGACATGTTGGATTTATTTAATTAATTACAAAACTCATTCCAACGCCGACGGACCTTTGATTCCAAAATTTGAGTTGGGCAGCGCTGGACACCATCCTTCACTCCCAACACGATGCACTGTTGGCAGGACTCAGTGTTTCACTTAATAGAATAACATGGCTGCTGACCTTATAATAGACCTTCCTTTAAGTTAGGTTTTGCACTTTGATATGCAGACCCTTGTTTACATTTTGTTTTGTGCTGCATCATACGGTGATAAACGGACATCAAAACGACCCAAACGAGTGATAACATAGTAATGGTAACTAATTGGTGAAATAGAATATTGATTAATCCAGTTTGTTGAAGCACTTTGTGACACCATCCACTAATGCAATGCAGAGTGAAAACAAAGTCTTGACCATCAGGAGTTAGACCCAATCTGCTGAGTGAAAAACCACACGGCACTCAAAAAATAAGTACATTACCGTGTGCTTTTTCTGATGTTAATAGACACTTTAAATGGCATACGTACAGTCAATATGTCATACAGTCATATATGTATGTTTTAACTAATTAATATGACTATCCCAAAATGTGAGCACCCCGTCCGTTAGTCTGTAACAACTTCAAACTGAAGTCTTGAGCGCCGATCTTTGTACAAGCTACTATTTGGTACGGCCATATATAAAAGATGCCTTATGAACATAGTTAAAAGCAGGATCACGTCAGACATGAAGGAAAATCAGCACTATCGCTGACCAAATCCACATAATCCCAAAGAGTGAAATCCCCAGAGATTTTAATCCTATTCATATCCCGCACTTGCAGATTAACAAGAAAAAAAATACACATGAGTGGGATAAAAACAAAGACCCCGAACGCACTAAAGGCCAATGACTAGTTCTGAACACATGGTCATTATCTTGTAGTTTACACTCATCCCACTGAAAAGCTTGGCTGTGTATAAATGTCTTAGACACATTACTGCCATTAAGGCCTTCAGATAAGCGCGTCATACACCACTTGTACTGCATTATATCAAAAGACTTTTTGGAAAGAACAGCATTGTCCACCAGGGTCACTGGACAGAATATTGAACACGCTCTGCCTGCCAGTATGGTTTGGGTCACGGCAAGGTCACAAAAGCTGACAGCATTTAATGAAACAATGTTTAAACCAGAGTGTCATAATGGGATGCTTCTGGGTGTCAATACAGGTTCTTATTAAAACTAATAAAAGGTCAAATAATTATAACAGGCTCTGACCAGTGGTGTGTATATGCTTCATTTTATATTTGCAGTGGATTACTAGATAAAGAGAGCCATTACATTCAACGCCAAAGTGTGTGTGGGGTGCGGATCCCAGCGCTTAAAGCGGAGGATGGATCTTAATCACTGCATTTGCAATTTAAAATCAGAGATTTATCTTTCTAATCTATTCAGTTATATCTAAGAGTTCTAGTCCGGCTGGAGACAAATCTTTCCAACTTCCCTAAAGTGTTTGTACGGATGTTTCAAAATATGCCATTGGGTTTAATATCAAAATATGCTTAACAAATGTTGATTTCTCATAAATCATACATGCATTGACCATGTTCCGTGATGTTAATGATCCAACAACCCTTCCCCACCATGTTGTCCTGGATCAGAGGTGCACATATTTGACTCATCTGAGCAGGATTCCGCATGCACTCTTAAAACGTTTCAATCCCAAATACGTTGTGTACATTTTCACGATGGGTAAATCAAAGCAATCTAGTCTGCCAAGCCTGAACTCATCCGATGCTCGGCATCTGTCTCGGAGTCCGAGAAAAAGCGCTGATGAGAAAGGCTTTGAACGCCATCTTGTTCATTGCAGCTGCTCGGGCCCTGAATACAGGAACCCATTCATTCGAGGAGGCGGCGGCGGCGGGCGAGAGGGAGGGAGGGGGCACGCCGGCTACATGAATTCAGCTGTGTGAACCCGTAAATACAAATAGCTCTGTTAATACACACCAAACGTGTCATGCCAGCGGGATATTTCCGGTAATGCATTGTGTAGAAGCCACGGACGTTACATGCATGTTGCCCGGGTGCTGCAGGAGGCGCTCGGCTCGACTTCCTGCGACAGCCCGCCTCGACTCGCTGCTAAAGCATCTCTGGGCTCGTTCAACGTGACCACTAAAAACACAAATCTCAGAACGCATCGCTCGTGCTCGATACACGCTATGCGTGTGTGTGTGTGCTAACCCCGGATCCGGCGTCCCGCTGCAGGATCGAGCTTCGGGCCGCTTTAACTCGCCCGGCCCGGTGGAGCCGCGAAACAACTCGCGCTGCAACAGACCCGTGATCGAGATAAACAGATTGGGGGAATCCAATTATCACAAGGCAATCTCGTTTTCGCATCATTAAAAGAGAAGTTCAAATTGAGGTCGAACGGTGTGTCCGCTAGGCGACGAAGGTTTAACACTCGTGGAACTAAAATGGCTAATGCCCCACCGGGTCCACGGCGGCGCGTACCCCCCCCCCCCCCCAATACTCCCTCGCTGCGATCGGGAAATCAGCGTTTCCGCTCGCCGAGAGACGTAAATATCTGTTAGTTTTACACATCGTGCGGTTCTCGCAATCGCAAAACCGATTTTTTGGTTTTGCGTGCTTTGAGGAGACCTCGCGGGGAAGGTTAGCGTGCAGTTCGCTGTGGCGTACAGCAGCCCTACACACACGGAGGGTTGGTTTCGATTCACCGGATTAAGCACTGCTAGGTCAACGAGCCCGTTTAAACACAGTTCGCCAAAAGAACAGATTGCGACTGAGAAATGTGGCGGGCGCGTCCAAAAACGCTTAATAAAAAAAGGCAAAAAAATCAACCAGTTTAGAAAAGAAGCTGCATTCGAACACTGTCCGTATTCGCGGAGGGTTATGTGTAAATGGTTCTGGCTGCCATGTTCGCAACACGTACACACACACACATATATCAGCCATACCGGGAGCCAGACGTAGGCTGCTGCTGGCTAACTGGCCGTGGAGCAGCGGGTGGTGGTGGTGGAGAATCAGTTGGTAAAGTGGCCACATCTAGACTCGTTTTGCTGGTGACGTTACGTCTAACAGCACGAGAGGAAGTAACCAAATCCAAACTCTGTTCACGGCTGTTGGGGCTACGCAAGCAGATAAAGTTGCAATTATGTCATTACCGTAACTCGCCAAAGGGTTAGTCAACAGCGATCCGAGTAGCGAACGTGCCACCAAATTAGCTCACCGGGTAACGTTAGATGTGAAATGTGTGCCTACAGACAGATCCAATATCTTGGGGATAATTAGGCTCTATATTACGATTTAACGTGAAGTGGATAGACTGGCTACAGTTTGAAACAAATAGCGATGTTTCCAGTGAGAAGTAGGAAGGTACCCGGACGTTGGAGAGGGGTGCTGGCTAACCTAGCAAGCGTTCGCCAACTAACAGTTAACCTTCCAATTTAACTTTTCACTAACACGGGGCTTCGACTAACCCCACCAGCTTACCGCGGGGAACCATGGCACGCTAAACCAGCTGGTTAATGTCCTGGTGAATTGGCACTGGGGTTAACGCAATGCGTTAAGTTTTCTTGACCCACACCCACTCTCTTGGCAACAGCGAGCAGCTAGCAGCAGGCTAGCGGCAGGCTAGCGCTAACTCTATCACTTTTAACCCCTTTCGTTCATCTTCCCCGCTCGAAAAGCTGGTAAACTGCACAGACACTTACTGCATTTGCCGAGGCGCACATTCAGACATCAAACACCCATCCTTACCAGCGTTCAGTTGAGGGTATCCGTTGTTTATATCACATTGACTGGAAACAGCTAAATCTTGTCTCTCCGCTCTCCGCCCAGGCGCCTAAGATTTAGCTAGCGTTAGTTAAGCTACCGAGGAGCGGCACTCCCCGAACCCAGTTTTTGACCCGCCGAGGGGGGGAGACACACCGGCACAGAGGCGCAGAGATAAGTCGGCGTTCACCCAGAAAGACGTGGCACAGTCCCGTCGGAGCGTTCTTCCGTCTCAACGAAAATTCCCACTCAAAGCAAAAAAAAAATCCCTTCGTCTTTCCCACCGTCGTCGTCCCTCTTCTTTTTTTTTTCTTCCTTCACGCCAGGATCTCAGTCGCTTCTTCCTCCGGCCATCAAACAGCAGAGATGGGCGCGGTAACCCTGCACTCAGGTCTGGGAAACCCCACGTTACGGCAGCGTCACAACGCACGGCGTCGGGTCGGCAGCTATCAGGAAATGCTGCCATTTTTGGTAACACCCCACACGCTTAAATAACGTTTACCTGGCAAAACGGCGCGTTTAATTCTACGGCCGTGGTTATTTGCAGAGTTTAAATCGGCTCTCATGCGAGAATGGGCTTTTCTCAACCCCAGAGTAGTTAGATAAACAGCACTTGGTTTTGATATGTGGCCCACACAGCTCTATAGGCTGTGTCGGGTACTTTCATAATAACCAGGAATTATTGGTTCAAATATTTAGCAACAAATGCCCTGTGTAAAGTCCCAAGTCTTTGGTACACATGCAACCTTTGGCTCTTTGGGGACGGTTCTATCAAAGTGTCTTTCAGTGAACTTGTGATATGAAAAAGTTTGGGAACTTTTAAAAACGTGACTTGGGTATTATAACAACCACCACGTATGACTTTCAGGTCAGTACGACAACCGCTACCCCTGAGTCAATAACACAGTCTCATTTGCAAACCAAAGCAGACCGTGCCTCCAATTTCACTAGGAAGCTGCGAGTCCTTTCCTGCCAGCGGGCACGCATCCAGAACGCTCTTTGCTGCACGCAAAGTCATTTTAATACACGCTCATGGTTTGATGATCTAATTCATACTGATCCATTAGTAATAAGTCACAACTCGCTCCGACCGCCGGCAGAAAAGTTGTCAAAATATGCCGGCAACGGCAAGGTTTCTGTTGACGGGTGATATTACCTTTGCCATACTTTATTTGTTTGAACTGATGTGCCCTAGTTCAAGACAGGAAATCACTGGGGACTTGCCTCGCGCGCTCAGTGCTTGAGGGTGGGCCTTCACTGCAGCGCAGGGATCACTTGATCATTATCAGCAGCAGTCTTGGTAGAGTGCTCCGAGGAGGGGATAATGCTCAGTGGGATAAGTCGTTACTTGGAGACGTGGAACACTTTGGCGTCCACCGGGACAACAAAGTATGTGTGTGTGTGATGGGGGGGGAACAAAAGCATCATCAGCCATTGGTTTGTACGCTCCAGAGAGAGAGAAAGCGCTGTTGTCTCCGCTGTAACCCCGGCGTTTGGGGATCCACTGTTTGTGCCCGGCCTGTTGTTCCGTCGTCTCCTGACGGTCACATGTTGCAGTTGATCGATAAATGCGCTCTGAATAAGTACGTGTCTATTAAAATCAACATGCTGTAGATTTTCCCCCTGTCGTTTCAATCTCCGCACGATTCTTTGAATCTCGGACTTCCTCTCAAAGTCCTCTGCTGCGGGACGGTCCGCTCCAGAAATACCTTCCCGATAACATTAATTATAGTTGGGGATTAGAAATCTGAACTCAACACCTATCATTGCCTGCAACTTAAATAATACATAAATACAGATAGATGCAGGACGTGCTTCACGCACCCCCCTTGTGTGCGTGTGCCTTTTTGTTATTAGGTGTGGCTCTCCACCGGGACTCATCTGCTCAGGTTGATGCTGGTGAGATGCAGTTGCCCCTGGATACCCCCCTTGCCTGCCTGCCTGCCTGCCTGCATTCGCGTGTTGTGAAGCTGCTCAGGGGAGAAAGCTCACCGTCTGCGTTGGGCCTTCTGACGAGGAGAGCGGAACGGGAGTGGTCCAGGCCTCGATGGGCCGCTGGTGTCAACACATTCTCTCATTTAGTTTTACTAAATCAAATAGTCATGACGATCATGAGGGCAACCGTTAAAAAGAGATTTCAACTATTGGGCCATTTTATTCTCTTGAGAAACATCCATTTGTTATGTTAATACGGCCGATAGCACAATGCTAACGAATATATTAGCCACGTGGTTGTTTTAATATTGTAGTTGCGCATAATTGAAATACGTCACATGGACGAGGCCGCCAACAACAAAGAACATTTGCTTTTTTATGGCCCCAGTGGGTTGTATTCACACACAGACGCACAGTAAGGCAGCCAGAGATGCACAAACACACACAGGGCACAGACCGTAAGTAGCACTATCTCACAGTATTAGCGAGAGATCAGAGGAGAAATCAGATTAGAAAAAGAGGGAAAACCGCAACACAAATATTCCCTAATATGATCTCATACTTTTCATAAAACGAGTGACATTACATGAGGCTAAGCTCATAATGACCTTGCTTTTTATAGGCAGGTTGGGGTACAGTAATCTGATTTAGCATAATCTCCTCCAATCTCTGATAAATGCTTACAGCATGTATCTCTTAGAGAGGTCAGATCCCATTGGTCCGTTTTGAGGCATTACTGACATCTGCTGTTCACATGTCCTGCTTCCCCTGGAGCTGCACACCGCCCACGGAGACGAGCAAGTGAACACTGAATGCAATGAGCATTTCAGATGTGGATATTTGTAACATCAGGTATTCCAAAAGGGAAATGATTTCCGAAATGTCTTATGTGATTGGAATTTGTTCACCATTAAATTGATGAATTTGGTAAAGCGCAAAGACACACGATCTGAGTGATGAATGATAAAGATGCCCTGGGGACCAACAGGCCCCTCTGACCTATTTTAACCATAAATGTTACATGCAAATGATACACAATTACCATTGTCACAATCATTTTTATTTTTCAAATTGCAATGTTGCCAAATATAAGCCACTCAGGCCGGCGTGAACAAACTCTAAAAACACAATTGTGCGTTTCATTCATATCTGGAAAGTCAGATAACGTTGAACAAACTATATGGAATACAGTTTGACACCATGAAGTTGATAAATATCTTTGCCCCATGATCATTTGGAAGAGTCATAAGTGATGCTGTCTATTGTCTGTTAAAGGAGGAATTGCGTTTGAAAGTTTTATGATTTATTGATGATTTATTTAACAGTACTAACGGGCCATAAATAATACATTAAAAGGCCATGATCGGCCCCCCGGGCCGGACTTTGGACACCCCTAACGTCTAAGGTGACACAAAGGAGTAGTCTATGCATTAAACTACTACTTTTCACCGTTGGATCTTTTAACCCATTTTTGTCATGGAGTCCAATTTGATTTAAAAAACGCATCTAAAATTATAGTAACGTTATAAAAGAAAGAATCAAGAAAAACTGCTAGTATCACATATTCAAAAATATCTCCTATGACTAAAGTTGATATAATTCTTATTTTTTTTACAATGAATGTTATCCAGTAAGCTGTATAGACAGTCCAGCAGGAATAACAAGAAGAACTGGGAACGAGAAAGCAGTGTGCAGGAATGTATTCACATTTTGTGCTGACTATTGCAAATAAGCTTGTTGTTAAAGAAAGTTCCTAAAGCAACTGTTTTATAACACATGCTGATAATGCAGGACTTTTCCCAGAGCGGGAGGTCAACTTCCCTAACCTCCACTATTTCAAATACACTACAGCACATTCAATTCCAGGACATTCCAGGGATTCCATGACCCCAGGAGGAGCAGTGGGGACATCAGGAGGCTCCTAGTAGCAGCTACTGGTACGTGGAACATTGTGGCTGAGCACTGGTCTGGTCCCAGTCCACGGAAAGGAGGGCCGACCCAAGTGATATCGCTAAAGTTCAAATTCAGGCAAAACCTATTTTGATCTACAACCAGTTACCTCCCAGTAAATTTATTCTAAGCTGTAAAAGCCTTCAACGACAATATCTCAGTGGACATTGTGACAGTCAAAATATTCTCCCAACTGTGGAATAACAACATTTATTTATTCATTCATGGCATGTGAGCTGGAGATTTGATAATCCAATGAAAAAGATTAGGATTGCAGACATCCCAGTTCCATTGTTAAATCTTTCACCTTTGACTCTTTGACACAGGCCCTAATATCTTTGGATTGAACCTGCCAAAACTCTAGCTCTCAATAATACAATAATACAGTAATGAGAATACAGTGATAATTACCACTGGCCTTCTACTAAGATTGATACCAGTGTTATTGACATCACTGTTCGTGCCATCGAGCTTCCAGCATCAACTTCTCCTCTTATGTTAAACCGATGCATCATTCGATGGCTGATCAACGGGCTATAATTGTGCAAAAATAGCCTCTAATCCAAACTAACGTTATCCATTATTAATCTATATTAATCGTTGCATATTATGTATCATGTTTGACAGATTTTGTCACCTCTGCGTCCTCCCACCTCACGCATGTAGCGCCAGAACTCCACCGTCACACCCGTAACCCCGATGTAACACAGCTGCTCAGTTGGCATTAGGTACAACCCCTGGTGGCGAAATTAAAAAAAAATGTAAAAAATGAGCCGGTGACATCACTTGCCCTGTGGCCCACCGGGCATGTCGGTCACCGTGGAGAAAAGTCCACAATTAAGACGATTTCCAGATACATTAACTCCACCTTTTATTGATTTGATTGAATACATTTAATCCATAAATAGTCAATATTTTAGTTCATGCTGGCCACATACATGTCAGAGTGCGTGTGGGTGTGAGATGATTCCCAATTGTCCGGCGTCCCGACGCTGTAGAGGTCAGTCGGCCGCGGTGGAGACCAAAGCCATGAGGGTGACTCTGTAAACGTTGGTCTCATCCCCCGTCAAGGTGAGAGGTAAACATGTCTGCACCACTTCATAGGGCTGAAACGCGCACAAACACACACACACAGGAGCTTACATGGTGGTATTGCAGTACAAGGTACTGACATAACTGAATATTAATATTAATTCTATTGTACTTAATATTTTCTATAGTACAACGTACAGTGATCGATTCTCTTAAGGTTGCAAAAGGCTGAAAGAAGCTGAATCAGATTTTAAACCGTAAAAAACTGAACAAAAAGTGACTCCTTTATTGTTTTCACTCAACGAGCAGCTTATTATGTGTATTACTTCTTTTAAAATAGGTAATTTAGCTGTACAACCTACATATTTATGCAGACTTGCCCATGCCCCTCCTCTGTACAGCTTGTTTCCCCCCCCCTACTCAGTAACAGCCTCGTGGCTCATCGGCCTCACCTTGTACCCACTGTGGGGAACCCATGTGACCGTGACGGTGCGTTGGTGGCCCGGTTCCACGGAGCCCCTGCTGGGCTCCACGCTGAAGCCGAGCGGCTGCAGGGACGCCGCGTTGTCCCACTGAAACTCACCGCCCTGGAAAACAGGAGAACACGGACCTTCTAGACGAAAGCCACGCATTTGATTTCCTCACCGAAGTTGAAACCTGGTTTGTGGACACGTCTCACTTCATAGTCTATGTATCATTATGCTTTGTGGGTCAAACTATGTTTGTGGATTTAAGAGGCCCCAACAAGGGCCCGATGGAGGAGTCAGATCGGTTGTCACATTGACGGCAGAATAGCTTTAAATCCTTTATACTGTAGTTTTAAAATAAAGCCGTTAGCACATCAACTCATCTCGTCTCACGATGCATCACAGTTCCCTTGATGAAACACGTGGTAGTATCCACGGCCGATGACGTCACAGTACCTTCTTCACGGACTGTGTGGCGATGCAGCCCACCTGCAGCTCCCTCACCGCAGGTGTGATGACTCCCGCGCTGTAGCCGGCCCGAAGGGTCACCAGCACGGGGGTGGTGGGCTTCTCCTTCAGCTCCGGCTCTGCCAGATATAGAGAGCACCGGGGGAGCGGTTTGCTCAGATTCAGCCTCTTAACAACATCATTTCACTTTTCTTTTAAAGTCAATGGAATTGGAATACGGTTCATTGGTTATATGTTATATGTATAAGTTATATGCTGCAAAACTAGACATTCCCACCAGGCTCAGCTGTATTTTGTGTCAATCGCTCGGCATGGTACTGTTAGAATGTAGGTGTGCCTCCTGCTGATGAACGGTCTCTACTGTTCCAGACATCCTTTTGCTTCCATTCATGAATTTCAAATCCAAATAGAAATAATTTACAGTCACTGACGGATATCAAATAGCCCAAAAGACATTTACTATGTTGGCTTATACAATTCAAGCAAGTTTAACGAGTGTGCTGAGCATTTGTTTCAATTTGTTTTTTGATCGTGACTGTTGACATTGCTTGAATTTGGTGAACTGTACAGCAACCTTGTCTTTGAGATGTGCCACCTTTGGATCTTGTGTTACTATATGATCTGAATGCTGGTGACCAGCACAAAAGTCTAATCTTTTGAGATTATACTTGAACTTGAATCCATTTCCAGTGGAAATATTGACCCCTTCTGCAATGACTCCATGTCTCTAGACTACATCATGTCCATCACAGCAGAAGTGGATAACCGTGAGGAGGAGATGAAGGCAGCGGCCTGCGTACCTTTGAGCGGAGGTCGTCTGGTTGTCGGTGGAGGGAGGAGGGATTCGATGGGCACCGTCAGCACGTCTCCTCCCAACAGATACATGTTGTGTGAAGAAGCCGCTCCCTTCACATCCACCACGCACACTTTGCTCTGAGAGACAGAATTGGATCAGTGTTCAGGTCGCCTTAGAACGGAGACGCGCAGCCTTTCGCCGGGACCCCGGGATGCTTTTCAACCAGCGATTAAGATCAAGGTCCAGTCGAGTGTCCTGATCTCAACGTCTTTGTGCGTGCGCGGCGTTGTGCTGACCTTATTCGCGAGCTCTACGGTCAGCCTGTCAGAGTAGTTGACAGAAGGGTGGTCGGGCCGAAAGGTGACGGCGATGTCGAGGCTCCGTCCCGGAGCAACGCTGCCCTCTGCTGGAACAGCGCTGAACACACTCAGCCCGTTAAGGTTCTGGGATCCTACACGGGACACAAGTACCAGGAGTAAGTGTTACTCAGCCAGACACTGGTTTCATGGGGTTGTTTGCATCTGTTGCTTCTACTCTCATTTATTTTGGTTCCGACCTACGTGTGTCAAAGTGAATCTCCGCCAGTTTTCATGTTCCCTGTGGAATGGCTGCAGTGTTAGTTGTGCCTTACCGACAGCAGGCTGGACCGGAGAGTCGGTGTGAGTCCGCAGCAGGGAGGCCAGGCCGTCCGCTCCACCCGGAGGCCTTGAGGGAGAGAGGCTGGCCAGCAGCGCCCTGAAGCCCACGGCCACCACTGAGCTGTTTTGCAGCTGCAGGCAGAACAGGACTTAATGTCAGTTCCTACCCTGCAAACATCAAGGCAATGTGAAAACAAACCAGCAATCGTAACCAATGGAGTTGAATCAGACATGAAAGGAACAGAGAAGCCAGCAATCTTTGTCTCGCTGGTCTTTTCTGCCCTCTGCGATCGGCACGCTGTGGACTGACCTTCAGGACATGCGTGGCGCACTCCTTCTGCAACACATGGCCAAAGTCAAGGACGCCTCCAGGGTGGGAGGAGGTGACGGCAGGGACCACGGCCACCCCACTCAGAGTCATCTCCAGGGTCATCTTCTGGCTACGCACCTCCAAAATCTCGCAGTACTTCAGAACAGTGGAGGGGGGGGGGGGGTCACTAAATAATATTTGAGTGGCACAACAAGCTGAAGCTGGAGAGGAATAAATCAGTGGATTCATCCAATGGTGGGAAAAGCGTGTCACACTTGCATGTTTGTTACGTTCCAGCAAAAAGCAGTGCTTGATCGTATATGTTCTACAGACCTTTTTCTCCAGAGAGGGGCTGAAGGCCACAACCAGAGTGTGCTTTTCCCCGGGTCTAATGCACCTGAGAGCATTCAGAAGGGAAAAAGGGCCGTGTACATCCAGCACCGATGACCCCAGCTTGTAAACGGTCAAAGAAAAGCACCGTTGAAATGTGATGAACGTGTTATCTGCTTTAGTAGATGTAGTAGTGGTATTTTAGGATGAAGACATACTACACTTATTGGAAAGACTTCCCAGGATATGAAAATAGTACAAAAAGTGCCATGTGGATAATACTTCTAAATATACATGTATATCTAGAAGGATTATTACTTGTATCCAGGAGGTTTACATTCCGAAGTAGACAATTGGTAAGTATGTATCTGACATGATACGTTCAAAACTTTCATTGTGACACATTTATTCAATTAGAGAACTTCTCTTTTTTTTTCAAGAATTTGTCATCCATTTCTATCAGACTTCTGTCTCCATTTTATTTTGTCCTCATCCTAGATTCTCAAAAGTAAAATGCATCATCAGGGGAAGTGTCCTTGTTACCCTGTAACATCTGCACTACACTACCCATCAGTTTTCTTTAGAAATGCATTTAAAAAGTGTGTGAGAGGTTAAAGGCTTTGGCTATCAATCAAATCTTACCAATTTGAGTAAGTTGCATGTCATTTCCTATCCCTCTTTTATCGCTAAAAAGACCTCATTTCCTTTTACTGTCAGCATTTAAGATTAGGATCTTTCTTAGGACAGCAATGCAAAATCAAATATACACAGACATTTTCCATCTCACTTGTTGTGCTATTTATCAATCCAGCTTGTTTTGGAGTTTCCTAGTTTTGTCTCCTGTTGTCTCCTCTTCGATATAATGTGACTATAAAGGCACTAAAAGTGCTAAATATATTTGAAAAGCTCAACAGCAAAGTGTCTTCCCAAAGGATAAGAGAATAAATATGTATCAGATTATAATGTGAACTGTCCCTTTAAAACATAGAATCAGTTTGTCATAAAGTACGTTTACATTTTCTACAGTTTTTAAGTTGAATTTTGAGTAAGAGTAATTACCGTTTTTTTTTACATTAACAGTTAACAACAGGACTCTTAGTGTTTTTTTATCCATCAGTGAGACTTTTGACAGGATACATCCAGAGTTTCCCTTGAAATGTTCTGAACGGTAAACCTCTTGATCACTCGTTCTCCTGAAGATGGACGACACCAAAAAAAAAACACAATCAACGAGTACCAGAAAACTGAAGCACCATAAACCTTCACAATCACTCACCCACTGCCACCTGATGGAAGTCTATGACATTCTTTGCACTGTTGGATGTGACCACTAGGGGGGGCTGGACGGCCGGACACTGCAGCCTGAGGTGCAGCGTATTGAAGGCACTGTGGAGACGATGAACACAACAAGCTGTTCTTTGTTTTCACAGCATTATCAAGACCCGTACACTTGAGGATGAAACAGAGTTCATTTTAATTCTAATAACGCTGTAAGGAAAACACTTTGATGAGCTCACAGTTCAAAGAAGAATGTTTACTATTGAAGTGAAATAGCCTCAGGATGCCTACTTCTCTTCAGCCGCTTGGATTTAAAGACAAAGTTGATTCTTTTTCTACCACATTTATACTCCCTGGATAAAAACAGGCGTTATGAAAAAGGAGAAAGAGACAGACGAGGCGAAAAAACAAGTTTGAACCCTTTCTTCTTTCTCTTTCAAGCTGCAGTGGAAGCAGTAGAGACACTTGCATACATACGTAAAGCTGCACCGTGGCTTCACGTGAAATGGGTCATTTTTGCCTTACAAAGGTTGTGTTTAGAAGAAACAGGTTTCCCACTCAAACATCTCTCCGACATCCACTCACTTGAAGCCAATGACCCCAAATGTGGAGTTAAAGGACCCTAACCCTAAGACCACACACCTCCCTACATACAGTTTATTCACATATCTAAATATTCAATTCCATGTGATATCAGACGCAGGGGTCCATGTCATAACAATTATAAATGAATACTAATGGAATAAAACCAACACATAGGTATAATTTTTGCAGTCCTCAATGATTAAAATACACAGACATGTGTACCAATGTTTCCAAATACATGACACACTGTTTCAGCTCAGTTTAGACCGTTAAGATACTATTTTCTGACATTGGAACTTGTACATAAGTTTATTCAACACTGCAAGGAAGGTGGAAACATTACTCGGCGCGACCACGCGACATGCACTCGTCCACCTCGGGAGCTCGAGCAAGAGCTGTTTTAACATAATCTGCACACATGTTGGCCTGTGCATCATCATCAAAGGTCATTTCTGAGGATGCCACCAAAATATCTCCCTTTGGTCACATTTAAATGGGTAAAATCCCATTTCAATGGGTCATCGTTGGCTTGCCCGGGTGATTCTAACCGTCCAGTCCTTCCTCTATTCATCGGGTAATCAGTGTGTTCCAAACTCATAGCGTCTAAGTGGTGATTCTTTTTCCGGGGCAGCCGAGATGTTTCCACCATAGCAGATGTCTTGGCTATTCATTAAAAGGAAGAAAATAAACTACATAGCAAAACCACAAGATCATTTCCCACACATCTTATTCACGTTGAGATGGAAGCTGTAAATGCAATTTACTGGAGGGGCATCCAGACCCTCAGGCTACACATTGTGGAATGTGCACCACAAGATCGACCGAAATGCTAAGAGCCCAAAAGGAAAAGAAGCGTATTCGTATTTTTGAAACTAAATATTCTGCATTTAAAACACAAGGCACGACAGGGAACCACAGAGCGCTGCTGACTCAGCGCTACCTCCACGCCGGCTGGGCCTGCGGGTCGTCCTCTGGGGGGTCTCCGTCCGACACGAAGCAGGGGACGGTGCTCTCGCTGTAGCGTCCAGTGAAGGAGTGCAGCAGAGAGGCTCTGGCCTCCTCCTGCCGCTCTGACCTTGAAGGGGAAACAAATCAACAGCGGCTCTTGGATGTTAACGCGACAAAAGCCTCCCTCAAACCTTTCCTGCAAAAGTCATGTGAACCCTGAGGGAAAGTTTAGGAGAAAGCTTTGGTTTAGGGAGGCTTTCAGCCGGAATGTGAAAGATGATTCTTAGAGAATAACATATTTTTCTTGCATCAATCGTTGGTATTTAGTAGTAGAATATTTAAAAATGAATATTTGTATGTGTATTCTAAAGTAATATTGCCGCACAAAGCCAGCCAACAACATCAAGTCTTAGTTGGAATGAAAGCCTCTTACCACGGCCGCAACTCAGCAGGATTTGGTGACTCGGCTGGCTGGTCCGTCTTTGGGATCACAGGGGCCTTCTTCCCTTTAGCGGTGACCACTGGGACCGCTTTTAAAGCCTCGGGGCACATAAACACACACACACACACACCACACAGATGCAGCATCTACAATCTGTACGAACACCAGCATGCACATGACAGTGAAAACAAAGGGGGGGTATCCGTACCTCCTGCTCAGCGTGTCTGCTCCTCTCCTGCTCCTCCAGGCGGTGCAGCTCGACTCGCCGGAGGAGACGCAGCGCCTCCTCTTGGATGTCTTGGTCTGGCAGTCGGGGTCTGAACGTCACTTGGAGCAGACATCTCTGTGTGAGGGGAGCGATGGGGTAATCACGTTGGGAATATGTCAGATTTAGCTAATTGATTGTCACGATCGCGTCTTGTGTTAAACACATTTGCAGAACACTTTAAAGTGGCGTTCAGATTTCAGTGCTCTCCCTCGCCGTCGATATTCTATTCAAGCCTCTGCTTTGCTGTTACGAAGCAGAGGTCTGAATTAGTTGCGGGCGGTCTCCTGTTTTCTGCATCCTGGCTCCCCCTAACCCCTACATTTTCAGATGATGCTCCATTTACTAAATGAACTAACACTGACATCAATGAATTAAGATTCATTGATTTGGCCATTATTTCCTGTACCCATTGCTGTCAAATTGCAGTGCAAACTAAAAAGCCCTTTTTCACGTCCTTCAGATGTCCAGCAGAGTGCATCACTGCACTGCACAGGGATCCGCTGCGTTTGTCTCTCAGCCCCGTCTGCTCTCTGATCGGTGCTTGTCTTTGTTGCAGGTTTGCAAAGTAAAAATGTATGGTGCTACTCCCAGGTTGGGTTTATTTACAAAGCGAAATTAAAGGGATACGATCCAAACTCAACTCAAATTTTTTGATCAGTCAAGAGTTTGGACTTAAATTCTAGCGACATACTAATCATTTGCAGGTTACGTGTAAAGACTTGACATCACTGTAACTATTAGAGGTGTGCTGCTCCACCTCTCCCGGCAGTAGGCGGCCTGCTGACGGAGCGATGCTGATGTCTGAACCCTCGGGTAGGCTGAAGGAGAAGAGCCTGGGGGCCGCAGGAGCCACCGCGTCCTTCCCCACCGGAGGGATTGTTTTTTTGGGGTGGATCAGGTGAAGTACGGCAGTGGATTTGTCCCCTATGGCCGTGGCCCCAAACTGAACCAGAGAGTGGGAGAGCTGCAGCGGGGGGCGGACACCCGCCGCTCGGCACGACAGGATGAAATCTCTGTGGACAAATCGTTTTGTTTAACACTCATGAATAGTCATTGAACCAAATACAATGATAGCAAAAATGTGTTGTCTTTTTTTGAATCAGAAAATCCGTTCAATTTACACAGAATGCAAGATTAAAAAGTTAACCTGTTAAATCCTGATTTGCAGCGGAGCTGGAAATTGTATTCTTTGGCCTTTTTGGCACTGAAAATCAGATCTATCTCCAGGGTCTCTTGTGGGAGCAGAGTGCCAAAGCCGTCATTGGGCTGCACCTCAATAAACTGTAGCGTGAGAGAAGAAGAGCAACACAATCACTCATTTAGAATCTCTTTCATTTCCATTAAATTAAACAATTATTTTGTGTATTCTGCAATAGCCATTTAGCAATTATCTTACAAACATTAAGCGTTTTAACATTAAGTAAGTGGAAGTAAGTGCTGACTTTGTCTCCCTGTTTACATGTGGAGTGAGAATGCCAAAGCTGAAAGAAAATGAGACCACTATAGAAGAAAGTCTATACAAACAAACAGCACTATTTATATAGCAGCGCTAATTGGATCAGTGTTATTAACAGCGCTGTTGTCCCAGAAGTTAAGAGCGGAAACCGGGGAATGATTTCCGCCAATTTTTCTGCACAAAATTGCAGGACTCGTAGGAATAGTTGTTCTATCATTAGTGGCGGAGTGGGACCCTGATTGCCTTCCTAAGAATGAGGGATTCACAACATATGCAACATAATTTGGTTTTATTACTGCTGCTTCACAGCCAACTGCTATTGCTTTTGCTGTATTTTTACTAAAGTGTCTGTCGTGGTGCTGAGCGACATTTGCTGTTTCCACGGTAACGGCAGGGGATGCCAAATCCACCAAGTCTGAAATCCTGAGGACCACAACATCAAGGGTCGAATGAAAAGAGCAACTCTCAACAAAAAAAAAAGGGAAAAGCGTGTGAAACGATGAGTGAGGACAGAAACGGTGAACAATGGACGTCTTATTCATTTCAATGAGTAAAATATGAGCCTGAACACACCTGACACCATCTAGTAAAGCAGTACTGATAGAATCATTGTTTTCAGTGGCTAACAGTAACTGTAACGGTAAGTTTCTGCTTGCAAACGGACGTGCTAGAGGTTCTCGTTCCTCACACTGTACCTCTGGAACGCTCAGGAAGCCGAAGTCCTGAGGCAGCAGGGACAGGTTGGTGAGGCGAACGCTGCTCTTGACCGACTGGTAGATGGAACAGAGGCCAAAGTCCACCGGAGTCCGGTCGAACCGCAGCTCTGACGAGGTGACGACAGCTTGGACCGTGAAGTGCAGCGGCATCACCTGAACGCACGTGAAGCCGAGATGAATCAGCTGCATGACAAAGGGATGGATGGGTAGCACCTTTTCTACGCCACACGCAGGCCAAAGGACTCAATGATGTACTATGTGTGCTGCTAACGAAACAAATTCATGTTTGAGGCGGGTCTGCTAATTGGGAGAGGCTTTTATGCATAAAGTCACGAGCCGAGCGCTGAGCAGATGAGATGTAAGACTTGTGTGGGCGTGTGACAACGCGCTTTAAAACTAGTACAGGCTTAATGGGAGATAAAAGAAAATTAAAATCTCTCCAGCAAACCCAAGAAACTTTTTTATCGGCGACATCGCAGTTCTTCTGAATTGTCTTTGGTATAAAATCAATCGTGCAAGGCAGGGGGTATTCTTTTTTTTTATTGTCGTTAGGTGCCACAAAATGAGTTAAACGTTTGTTCTGTCCTCAGTCAGGAACTAAATCTGTCACAAATAGGATTGAATAAAAAAAAAGCCTCAATCATCCTCTAAAACCAGGGGTGGGTATTGTATTGTATTGATTTCAGCAATCGATACTCATACCGGTGTGCGTGTGTTAAGTACTACACATTTTTGAATCGTGATTGTGTACTAGACCATATCGATATTGGTTAGATCAAATCCTTTATTGCTATTGATCGTTTTATGGAGAATTAAAATATAGGGTATTTAACACGCCTTTATCCTTCATCACCTACATTATACTTGCTGTGAATGGAGTCAGTCCTCAGCAGATGACCTTGCTTATTGGTCTTAGTACCATTCCTGTCCTGCCTGCTGTGACGTCTAGTGGCCATACAACAGGGTGTGTGTGTGTGTGTGTGTGTGTGTGTGTGCACATGCCAGGAACTCAGGGGTGCGACTTGGGGCAACAGCTTTGGTGCACCACAGGAGCATCCTGGCCCAACACACACACACACACACACACACACACACACAACCCTCTCCTCTCATTGTCGTGGAGGGGACGCAGGCTGGATGAGGCGGGAGAGGAAGGTTTTCTTGGACCATTTGCCAAGAAGACGGAATAGATTTAGGTTTATTTAGAAAGAGGACTGGCATCAATACAGCAGCACGTCTAAGCAGCCACTCTGTGTTTTTTAATAAAACCTGCTGCTGACAAGCCGACGGAATTTAGAGGCTGTCAGCAATTTATTACTTGCATCAAGAGGTCCAGAATGACCTGTTTTTATATTTCAAAAGTTTTTAATTTACAATATTGGACCTGGTGGAGAGAATTTTGCGACGTCTGCCCCTGAGGGGAATTATTTAGAATTTTCAACACCGAATAGCAAATTATTTCTTGTCAATGTTTGGATGCACATTAAAGTCACAGAATAACAAGAAATCATTGATCCATCTTAAGTTACATTATTTCATGATTATCACAACAAGACAACATTAAGATTGTCAATCTTAATGTTAATGTTCTCAATTAGAATCTTCTGCTTTGTTTACATAAACTGCCTTTGGATGGTTGCGCAACCTTCTGTTGAGTAATGACAATAAATTACCCACGAAACCTTGAATACATTAAGTATGCGTATGTGTTATATCCAGTTATGTTTATAACTGATATCAAATATAAAAAACTCTCATGTTAGTATGCGATGTGCCATAAATGAAGGCCCCACTAATCGCTTTCTTTACCTAGTAAACAATAGTGAGCTTAACCCTGTCTTCACCGATGGTGTTATGAAATATAACATAGATAGCTGCTCCAGTAACTGACAATATGATTGTAATGAATGTTAGCACATAATAAGACAGCACAACGATTTTCACCCTTTTCTGAGAGATCCTCTGTGAAACTATTTGGGATAACCTTTATGCTTGGCTTATTGGCGCCCGTGGAGCAACTAGGCCTTGAGGGTGGGAGATAATTTTAGCTTGTTACCAGCAAAATAGGTTACAACTTTCAGTCGCTCTGCTTCTGTGAGGGACAAAGTAGGACACGGGCGCTGTAACGCGCTTTAAGGATCACGGGGAGGTTTCCTGTGAGATAAACTGCAGCGTGTTGCTGTAATACAAACCTGGCCTGCTACTTCAACGGCCATTGGAACCTCCAGGACTCCTGTATCGCTGTCAAAAAGATCCTTGGCATCTTTGGATAAAGAGCTTCTGTGAGAGAGCAGACACACTGTAGTTGCATCATGTGCAGACGGAGAACAAAAGACAGCAATTAGTTGTTGAAAACACAGCTGCAATTTCTCCCCCCCCCCTTTTTTTCCTCCAGAACATCAGTGAAAAGACACGAGCCACTGCTGAGCCCTTCAAAGACAGATCGAGATTCAGACCCCTGAAGAAGAATTTATTCACTTTAACCCACCACTGTAGCACCGGCTCGCCTGGGGAAGCAAGGGGAGAGATGTGGAGCGCGCCTCCACACGACTGTAGGTTGTAGCCATGGTGATGGGAGACGTAAGTATGATTCAAAGAGGCCCAGTAGTCATGCACGGGCTTATGTAAAACTTACAATATAGCACAGACACCGCATGTGTAGCTAACTGTGATGTAAACGATGGTCAAATGTCAAACGCCGTCTCGTGGCTTGGATCCCCCCCGTCTCTCCCCTTCTCCCAACACCTCTCTCTTGTTCCCCCGCCACCCCATCGCTCGTCCCTCCTCTGTTTCCCCCCCACGGTAAACTGTCTCCTCCGTCTTTTATCCGCTGTGGATGCCAGCTGTTTTAAGGCTCCCCAGATGTCAGTGTCAGTTCTTTCAAAGCACCGCGAGCGAGCGTCGCCCCCCCACGCATCAGTCAGACGCAGGCTGGAGGAAACGATCAGGTTTCCTTAATCGCGTCACCCTTAAATCTCCTCCTTTCCTATGGGCATTAACAGAAATGGGTTGTTCCCCCCGCTGGGTTCAGTTTGACCGAGGGGCACAGGGGGTGTATTTAAGGAAGCGCTCTTGTTCTGCCTGCAAATAACATCGCTGCTGGAGAGCCCCTCTTGAATTAGCTTTGGCAGGGCAGAGTGGAAAAGCGTGGTGGGACGTCGCCAGGACCATATGCTCGGGATAATGCCTTTACGGATGGACGGGGTTTCAGATTTGTCGGTGTCAAGCACAGATTTACTTGGGTGCTTTTCTTCTCTGGAGCCAGATTATCCGCACAGCCTCGACCCAAAATGAATTCTCCTCCGTCTAAATGAAACGAAAGGAGTCTCCGTTTGCCTGCACGTCTCGACCACGGACAATCTGATCCACCTCACACTGTAAGTGTCGCCGAAGGCCCAGAGGAGACCACTGTCCAGTGTGGAGTTGTTAACGTGAGCATTACAGGAGGCCAAGCAGGTAGAGGACGTAGCGAAACGGAAAAAGTTGTTCCAACTTTGAGGTGCTGCTACGCGAGCAGCGGTGCAGATCTGGAATGGACAGCGATATCTACTTTATCTCTGTGTGCATCCCTCGAAAACCTGGAAAGTCAAAGAGAAGATAGGAGACGAGAGGACGAGGGCAAAGGTGAAATAACTCAGAGACACGTGCGATTCTAGGAAAGTGGCTGCCGTAAGGCTTCCTTTTACCCAGTGGGGGCAAATTCAATGTATGGACTTCAGTGTGGACTGCTGCTAGATTTCATCACCATTAAAAAATGATGATCAGGACGGATTACAAAACCGATTAAGAGGCTTAGGGATTTTCCCCTAAATGGGGAAATGGATTGCTAAAAAACTAAAACCAATAAATAACTTTAAATATAAACTCAAAAAATTAAATAAACCAGACAGGTTGTTTTCGTTGTTTGCAACTGACAGCGTTATCAAAGTTGCGGTGAGTGCTGTGAGTTGTGAACTATTGGTGAAAGTGCTGGCAGAGCTGTCTGGTGTAATCTGTAGTAAATCATCCTCGTAATCTCCCTTTTATCAGGCAGAACTGCCAGGGTGGGACACGTTGCTTTGCTCTTCAGGGATTACACCTAAAACCGTCCATTCAAGCTATCCTATCCAAACGTCATCAGGTTCAATTATTCTTTTGGTCTAGTGTGTCCTACTGAAATTCTCCTCATGCCGAATGCTTCACTTTACCCTCAATCATTGTTTCTTCAAAAGTAAAGGCATGGCGTTCTCAACGGTCCAGGAAAGAAATACACCATAAAGTCTGAGCCAAAGAAAGCGGAGTGGGATAAAAAACTGGAAACATAAATATGGGGACGGAAAGCGAGATTGGAGATTGGAGGAACAACTGACCAATCAGAGCTCTGCCCGCGGGATGAAGAGCGAGACGCAGTCATTAAAAAGTGACGCGAAGCGCAAATGACACCCATTCAATCATAGAGGTTCTTGTAGATTGACAACTTTTGCCACATTGCCGTGTTTCTTTAGCTATCATTAAAAAAAAACAACCTCAAAGCATCCGACTTCAGGGTCGACTGAGAAACACAGAAAGTGGCTAATGTGAACACAGTGTCGGGCTGAAGGCCGACAGTGGCCACTCGCTGAGCCTGTTATGCTGTCGGTGTCCATTTGCTTTTGAATAACAGGATCTCCAACATGTGAAGCACTGGGCTTTGTGTGGTTTAGAGGGGATTGTGTAGTGAACGGATATGTGAGGAGGAACATGTGGGTTGCATGGTGACAAATAAACGTGGAGGAAGACGGGCAGAGAGGGATGACGCAAAGGAAAGATGGTGGAAGATGTGGGCAGGTTGTGCACAATCCTTCAGAGCTACAGAAGCAAGAATGTGCTCACCCGCTCCCAAAAGCCAGAGGAGGGAAGGCAAGAAGCAAACACCTGTGTAAAGAATGAAAGCTGTGAGTCATTTTGAATCCAGATTTAACACTGTGTGTGTGTGTGCGCGTGGATGGATGAGACAGTGAGTGAAGGCAGTGCTGCTATTGAGGATTTGGAAATCCAATCACAGGCTCTGGCGAGGAGGACTTGGCAGGGACATTTTAAATGAGACACTGTTGCTGCATGAAACAAAAGCAGAGAAGAGACATGCAGAAAAGCGAGCTCGCTCACACGCGGGAACTGTCCATTTCCAGCGTGATTTGTGTGAGTTTTCAGGGCAGGCGGAGGACACTGTTAAGGATGTGATAAAGGATCATTCTGATCCTATGGTCACTATTTAGATGCTTGTTATAGCAAAGTGCTCACCTAGTGCCAGCATGACTGGCTCAATGTTATTGTTGCATTCGAGTCACTGAGAAAAGCATTAGCTTTTTTTGTCATAAAATAATCCCAGATGGTGTTTAAATGACACAAAACTGCCGTTTCAAAGGTATTTCCAGAATCCTGAAAGCCTGAGAGATTCCATCACGCACACAATAAAAAACAGTTCTGAAGTCATTTCCTCAGTTGTCCAAATAACGATGGTATCCTCAAATGGTCCAGTATTCATTCTCTTTTAATGACCTTAATGAGTTCAATGTTATATAGTCCATGGATCAAATCTATAAAATATGACCCGAGAAGTACCGGTAATAAACTTTAGAACAAATAATGAGCGCACAGGGAACTGGGTCTGGTGTCTCGGGTTATGTAAGCGGAATCAGGGTCAACATATAAGCAGTGGTGGACGGTGGATGCATAGAGGGATGGGAGCCGTTTGAGAGTAACAGAGAGAGGCAGCATGGATGCAGAGTTGGGGAGGAAGCGGAGGAGCACAGAGATACAGGACTGCAGAGATGATTTGAGAAAAGCAAAGAGAGAGAAGTGTAGTTAAGCACGGAGGTCAAAGGCCAAGAAAACGAGAAGCATGTGCGAGAGAGTGGGAGACGACAGCACAGCGAGCGAGGGACTGTGTGATGGGTAGAGAGTAGGGAGTGGGTAGCCGTAGCTGCTTTAGCGCTTGTGAACGTTGCACCATCTCAGCGGCTGTACTCTAATCCTCGCATTAAAACCTCTGCTGATTCACTGAGGCAGATTACTGACATTTCCCCACTTTCTCCTCTGCCCCCCCCCCCTCGCCGCACGATGACCACTGCATGCCCTATCATTTGTGTCATGTGTGAAGAAAATATCCTCACGACATCAATAATCTCTCGGCCGTCAACAAACAAAGCTGCTGTAAAATGCGGAGGGGAAAAAAAAAAAAGGCTGGCAGAAGAAAACGAGCGCCCACGCTGGGTTTCTACATACTGCAAAGCCTCTCATATTTGGCCTGGAGCTCCCCTGTCCGCTCTCCTGGCTCTCAACTCCTGGCTCTCCGTCTAAATATAGAGCACGTATTGTTGTGGAAAGAATTACCACGTCCTTCAAAGTCATCAGAAACCATTACCATCGTGCTCAGAGTGAAGGTATGTAGAAGCGAGAGTTTCGTACCCGCTGGCTGTCCCCTTCACAGCTGATTGTCTTAGAAATAAGGCTTCCAAAATGATTATTTTGGAAGGACAGATCTAGATATCTAGAACCATATGTATCTGAAGAAACCTTTTTTTAATAGAGGGCTTCCTCTTCAAGACTATGGGTTTGATACAAAAAAAACTCGTCATCATAAGAGCCTGTTTTGGTTCTTTGTCGGTTCTAGGCCAAACCCCCCAAAAATCGGTCCCAGCCTCATGAGGAACCCTGGATGGTTTCTAGAATAAACCCTTAGGATACAAAAGGGCTCTAGGGAGGGTTTGGGTTAGGGTTTGGGGGGAGGGGGGGGCAAAGCCAAAGAATACTTTATGATGCTGGTTAATACCTTTATTTCCAATAAAGAGCAGCAAGCGCCCTTTAACCGCAGTACGTTTCTTATCTGCTGAAGGCTAGGAAGCTACGAGTCTGCATGCCTGGCTCGATACATACGACAAGTCTCCTTGGAGCGAAACAGTTTCAACTTTCACAGAAGGTTGATTGGAGCTGAACAAGGTGACTCTCTAAAATACGATTATGAATGCTTCATTGATTCCATTATCATAGCATCCTCTATGTGTCCTTCCTTACCTCGGCAGGAACTTGAGTTGGGCGTTAAAGCTGCATTGGGCCTGGACGAAAGCAGTCTTTGGAAGGATCTCCATGTGTTTCCTCATTTCCGGGCACACCTCAAAGGTCAGCCTCAGGGCCGAGCTGGCTCTGTCATGCAAAAGATACAACTTTTTGTAATATGGATGTAATCCAAGGTGATCTGCACTGTTAAACAATGAACAGGAAGTAAGTATGACGGGGACACTAGTAGTCTATGAGATACACAACCACGATCCACAGGGTCATCGCAGGTCCGAGAGAACCCTTTTGTTTGACGGACACAGAAATGTCCCCTGGAGTGGTGTACCCCAAGTCCAAGTCGTTGGGGTGACCCAATTTTACTGGAGCTCCAACAGATGGTTGCGCCCGTGGCTACAAGCCTCAGTTATAGCCGAAGCTTGTGATATAAATGGCTCCTCACTGTGGGAATTCTCCAACACGTCCAACCGCAGCCCACACTCGCACGCCGCCGTCAAACGACGATGTGCGGATGCAGCGGGAAGGTTTTCTTGTGGCTGCTTTTACCCTCAAAGATACAAAGGTGAGTGATGCCAAATAGACTGAGGGACCCGTTTTTTTTTTTTTTTTTTTTTTTTTTTCGATTCCCCTCTCAAATGAAATGGCCCACTTTGGATAGCAAGGTCAACCAGATGGTTGTTTCCCTGAGGCGAGGACTCTCAGGCACACTTGGGGATATACAGCCGCTATCTCTGTTCCTGCCAAATGATAACCTTCAAATCACTCTCGCAGGAATGTTCACGAATGCATCATTATTTAGGGCAATTAGGCATTTTAATTAACACGGGCATTTAACTGATCCTTTTTTTTACAGGCCGCCTTCGACCATTTTATTTCTGAGGCGATGTTTAATGATTGAAAGGTTACTTCCCAGCAATTCCCGTAATTTGCTTCCTCAGGGATGAAAACATGTTTATAATCTGGACTGTGTAACCAGCACATTATACAAATATTTGTTTCACTAAGTTTTGCTTCATTGGTGATTTCAGGAAAACTATTTACAAAAGTTATAGATGATAAAAAATTGATTTCTAAGAATTGATCTCTGTATTTTTTATGCCTACATTTTTAGTGTTTAATGTTACACCATAGACCAAATGTAGAGTAGGTGGACAACCAATGGTTTCCTTTTGGAGTAAACCCCTTTCCTATTGCAACATGACCTCGATGCACAAAGCCTGTTTCCCCCGGATCGCAGACAGTCATCCCAATAAAAACAACAGTATCGTTCCAGCAAGTGTCCTTTAAGAACTAAATGTGTTTGCGTTCAAGTGACAGAACCCTCTGAGAACTGAAATGATTGTGAATGTGGTGAGCCATGATTACATAACCAATAGTAATTTATTTCAAATAAAATAACCATCGCTGGATTCCCTTCCTGGGTTTGTTTGAGGCAGTTTACTGTGACAACACACACCCATTCTCTGTGTTCTACTGCCTTTGTAATATTCCTAACAAACCTTTGTTGAAGCAACATTGATAATGACACTCATAATACTCATTGAGGTTTTTTGGCAATTGTGTCAGCACACGTTCCAGGGAAATGGCTCTTGTTGAGTTTACGAGTACCCCCTTCCCTTTCTTAAAGGGGACAGGTGACTGTGCCTGATTGCTCCAAATCTATTGCAAAGCCTCATGGGATGCCCCGCCTTTGAACCATCTCCCATAATGCAGCACCGTCCGATTAATATGATGTTTTTTCAAAATAACTCTGAGGTTATTAGTTAGCAACAAACTGGCTTTAAGCGTATTCGTGGCCAGACTTGGGGCAGAATACTCAAATCCCCAGCAGGAGCTAGTGGAGGAGGGTTTGAAAGTCCAGGATCACTCCTGGAAAGGAATTTCAAAAGAACATTTTCAGTGCTTCCAAAAAGGAAAAAAAAAAAGAACTTTGCCAACCGTCTGCGGAATATTCCAAAACGTTGGCCCACGAGCAAAAATGAAACACTTTGCATTTTAAAGTCTCTTAAAAATCTTTCAATTAGTAGGAGTAATATTCAAATGACAAGAGCGAAATATTCAATTATGCTTCGTGCTTTTCTCATGAAAAACTTAGGAGGACTTGTGTGATATCTACTCATCTACTCAAAGGAAAAAGAGACAAATTGCGTGATGAAAGCCGCAGCTCTCTTATTGTTCCCCCGGAAAGCGTGCCAAGCCATCTTGTGCTCAGTGACTGTCTTGGAGGCAGAGTGACATGTTGCATGGTTTGCTGGCGCAAGCGACATTTCTACTGTAAAAGCTGCCGTTCACACTGATGCTGTTGTCATTATCTTGTCACATGTGCTGGAGTTGCCTGTACACCAGATGGCAAATGTCACAAATCCCTCACCCCCACACATGCACTCCCTCCCCCACATGTAACACAATGGTGGTGGAAATGTCTAGGTGGTGGACGGCAACTCTCGACCCTGTGTTTGCATCATAATGTATTGCATCCAAAATCATAAGGGATTTACCATTTGTCCTGTCTCATTGCTCGAACCAAAGAGGATTGTGGGGATGTGAGATTACCGCTTCGTCCCTTTAATCATCCGGGTGTTTATGATCATTTATAAGCAAACGCGTCTCTATTTTATTATGTCTGCACGTTTAATGAATATCTCAATACTTGGCTCTGAGCGCAGTAAGGAGACTTTGATGCAGGGCCAGCTGGAAAAAAGTAAGCTGGCTCTGTCAATTTTATGGGATTTTCACGAGCTGGTTTTCTGTGAAAATGTCCGTTGTGACTGAGACTGAGTACGTTTTAGGGAGGCAGTTTTAGTATTGCGCTCAGATGAGCAAGTGTGCTGCATCAGCAGTTCGTTTAACCAAACGTGATTCCAAGGATGTTTCCATGCCAACAAATGAAATGGAAATATGACAAGCGCCACTCCCTTCTGCAATATCTCATTCTCAATCTCAATCTCATTGGCCTGAGGGGTTTTAATATTAACATCCTAATATGCTAAGTTCTATTTCTTAATAATAACACATCAATTCATGACTGAAAATATGACCGAAACACTGAGTTTTCAGTAACCTCTTGAAAAGCAAAGGAATATCTGTCCATCTATCATCTTCTGCTCTCAGACAATATCTACAATGACGTTATAATAAACTCTTTGGTGGGTAATGTGCTGTTTCCTACGGGATTGAACGATTGCATGTGTGTGTGTGTGTGTGTGTGTGTGTGTGTGTTGCAGAGTTTGTATCTTGGTTGATGACCATCTGCTCAAATTATACATGAAAAAAACAATCATCCCAGATGACACAGGCTCTTTTTCTCGTGTCCGGAACTCGTCGCTAGCGTGACCACGACTCATCGGCACTGATCCTGACTACGGGACAGCCCTTTCTTTTACGGGCACTTTGCAGTGAACAACGTAGCAGAAGTAGTGGATGTATGACTGATGAATGAACTGCTGAAGATAAAAAATAAATAATGATAAAAATTTTATTAAAAAGATCAACTATTCCATATTTCATACCAAATTGGTACGCTTGTCGGAAAAAAATGTTTAACAAAGGGACAACGATTAATTCATTCATTATTGAAGGGGCTCCCTCAGGTCTCATACAAGGGGTCACTGTCACTGTTTTTTCAATTTCACAGGTGGTAATAAGTATACGTTTTTTGGCCCACTGTTTGTCCTTGTCTCCAACTGACATAGATCATTACTTAGAGTAACACTAATATTGCATTAAATGACATCTTAATCTTACTTAATTTGATTTGTTCAAACAAGGTTGTTGAACGAGACCTTTGAGTCAACGGCTCACTCTAATGTAAACCAATTGGACACCAACAGGGACAGAACACTAGTTTTCTTCAATGACAGAGCCTAGTATGAGTATTCACCCCTCTTAGATCTTTTCCTCTTTTGTTGCTTTTATACGTGCAATCCTGGTCTGCATAGTTTGGCTTTTTTTTACATTAATTTGCAAACTATTGGTGCTCTTGAGTGTGTCAGAAAACGAGCTAACCGTGTAGGCAGGTCATTCTTTTCTGTGTGTTTTATGCACCCTAAAGTATCAGAAATGAAAGGTTTTGTTGTTTTACTTCATCAGGAAGTACACAAACAGTATTGCCGTTCGTACAGACTTAAATAAACGTCACGTCAGTGAATTGTCGAGTAGGTTGAATAAGACCACCCGTGTTACATTCTAGCTTCTTGATTTCGAGCCGACCACTAAACACGAATACGTTTCAAAGAACCACAGCGCAGGTGTGCAACAACATTTACGTATCAACGGTCTTTAAATATATGACACAACTGTCAGCCATCTCCGGTTCTGGGACTCACCTGCTTTGGACCACGATGCTGTCTTGATAGAGGCGGTCAAACATGCAGATCTTCAGGTCAATGCTGGGCTGCACCACACGTACAGGGACACTGACTGCATCCCCCCTCACCTGGATGGGAATCTGTTCGCGATCACAAATGGTACGCAGGGGCCGACGCTAGTGTGAAGTGTTTCGCTCTGTAACCTTTTTTAACCGCACCGCTTGTCTTTCTACTTCTATCCACAATATATTGTGTCTTACTGGTTTGCTGGTTAAGTCAGAGAAAATGATGTGGAAGTCGAGTTTGACCGTTCCTGGAATGGTTGGACTGAAAAGAACTTCCAGCTGGAGACTTTGAAAGGGTCCGATCTCCCCTTCACGAACCTGCGGAAGGACACATTAAACATGACCGGTAAACATTTGATTTTGTAAAAAAATTTTGTGTATTCTACAAGAATTCCACGAAGTGAAAGTAAAATGACGAGTTAACGAGTTATCAAGGTAGGGGGAGCCGTCGAAGAGACTAGAACTCCTTGAACATGGTGGGACCGTGATGAACAATCTACCATTTAAGACGCCAGCCTTCCACCACACAATGTGAAAGTATCAGTCAAAGTGACATCAATCGAGCAGAGGACACCCAGGGACAAGCAACACACAAAGACAGCCAGAACAAGCGCAGAGGGAGAGGCGTTGCACCATTAACCCCCCACCAGAGATGTAATGAACCCTGAACAGCTCCAGGACTTCCCATGTGTCACAAGGCCCGCGTAGCATCGACGCTCAAAACGAGAGGCTGAAAATCATCTAGAGGCTGATGTAAGAGTGTGTTTTTTTGCAAGTCTCGGTCTAAAAGACGTCCATTCAGGGAATGTCTTCAAACATGATCACCGTCGCCCCACCATACATTTGGCTAGATTGGTTTGTTCCACAGGGGACCTTGCTTGACCTGTGTTGACTGCTTCTTTGATCTGGTACAACAGGAACAGCAGATCCTGGGTTGACTGGGCAAGGGTGAGAGATTATTCAATTGTATACATTTCTACATCTTTTACTGCAAAATGATAATGGCAACTTGGCCCGCGTAAATATGGAAACTTTGGACGGTCGGCCTTGTGGAGAAGGCCCTTCTCTGGAGGTCCGACGTCTTGATAAGTCCTAATATAGCAGGGTTCAGTTGAAATTCTATTCTATAACATAACCTAAAACAAAACCCAGTGCGGTCACAAACACAAAAATAACCTAAAGAGATAAAACAAGATAAATAATCTCCTCGAGTCTCCTCGGGGTCGAACCTGGCGGTCGGGCTGCCTGAGTCTCCCAAGAGACTCACCATATTTTCAAAGTGCAGTCTTTGTATTTCTGATTTGCTATTTGGCAAAAAGAAAACAAAGTAGGACTGAGGCTGTCAGTCAATTTCTGAGATTTGGTCATCAACTGAAATATTGGACACTGCTGATATTAGAACGGTCAGTGATTCACCAGATGAACTGTGTTTCTGTAAGACTTAACAGAGTTTCTGCTGTTGGAACACATACTTACACTTCCGAGGCTTATGTCACCGGGGTCTGAGTGGACATCGCTGGACGCACAAGCCTCAGGAATGATTTCTGGATCAGTAGCCGAAGCCTCTGACCCTGCCACACAAACACACACACACAAACAAAAACAAAAAACGAGGCAAAACTTTGACGTAAGTTCATTTGTACTGTTATTTGGTTGGGTGGTCAAGAGGAGCCAACAATGCACCAAACACAAAGGAAACAATAATTGTTTCAAAATCCAAAACATGGCCTCTCGGTGGCACAAAGGGAAATCTCATTATCAGAAACCTGACAGTTTGACCTAGAAAATAAACAACCACTTCTGCTTCGGAGCCTGAATGGGCAAATCAAGTGTGATAACAATCTGCAATTTGGCCATTAGTTCAAGAGATATCAGGAAAGTGAAAGACAAACACGGTAAAAAACATAATATCAACAACTCTCAGCTGCCTTAACATTTAGCCGGGATCAGACAGCCTCTCCCAGCTGAATAGAAGAAACGGAAACAGTCTTTTCCAAACCAGCAGAGCAGAGGCAAAAGACTGAAAAGCTTATCAAAGCATCAGAGGAGAGAAGTGCTGAGTGTAGCGATGAAGACTTCTGATCTGAGAGGACTGAAAGGATGCCTCCTTGTCATCAACTGTGAGAGCAAGGTGAACCCGTCGCTTTCTGTAAACGCGCTTTCCTTTTTTTTGTTCTCACCGGGACCAAATGTCCTAACAGATATAGGAAGATGAGAGAAATGTTGAACAATGAGGAGATTTTGTCAGTCCTCACTTCCCGTATTGCAGCCGTGTTAGGAAACACTGTCCTCTACAAATAATGTTCATGCACAGCTGCATTGGCTAATGTATGTTGTGCAATAAAATGATGCTCAGATTATGTTTTCGTCAGGATAAACTGACTCTTTGTACTTTCTTTTCCTCTTGTAACCGAAGCATGGTTACAGCTCTGTTTAGTCACCTCAAAACACTTTGCTAAGACCAGGGGAAGATTGTGGGTGTCGGGTGAAATTGAAAAAAAACAACCAACACTTTTAGTCAGCATAGACTTTTTTTTGATACTGACAAGTATTATAAAACAAGAGTCTTGAGCCATGCTATCGACTCCGCGAGGCTGTACTTGGGCTAAAGGCTCACATCAGTATGCTAACATGGTCCCACACCAGCAGAGGTAAAAAAATATTCCTCAATATAACCACGTCTGACTTCCTCCATCTTCCTCCATCCCCCAAGTACTTGGGTTCAGGGCAAAAAACATGAGACAGAAACCAGGCGGGACCGTTGGTAAAATTAGCATCACGTGCACATGTGTATGACAGCTGTACCTGTGTGCAAAGCCTCAGAGAACTCCTGACTCTCCTGCTCTGGTTGGAGTTCTACGGTGCCCATGGAAACCGAGCAGCTCCGGTCCTCAGACGTTGTGTGTTGACTGCTTTCCTCCTGTCAGCCAACAACAACACATTGGATTTTATACATGATAGTTTATTCAAATGTCTTTTGACCTGGTAATGTCAACTGACTGCACGTTCGTCATGCGCGCTGCAAATCTTTTCTCCTTTTAAATTCATTTGTGAGTGTAAATTTGCTCCACCAGGCCTTCAAAGGAACAGTTTGAGGTCCAGATCGACAGTCTGACCTGGCGGGTGTTGGCAGAGACGTTGGATGCCGTCTGGACGCGGCTGGTTTCTGGACTGAGACGCGAGGAGGTGTTCAAGCTGAAGAGGGTGGCAAGGGCCCCCTTGTTGGTCAAGGTGATGATCCGTGAAATAGTCTGGCCCACCACGTGCGAACCGAAGTCAAGGAACTGGCTGTCGACCTCCAGCTACAGAGAGCATGCAATGACCATCAGCAAAAAGCAGCGGCAAAGCAGAGCTACTCAGTTGGTTCATCCGTGAGGCAGTGATGAAAAATGATTATTACTCATATATTATTCATAAATCCTCATGGCTACAGCAATCTAAAGCTACACCTAATAGGACCAACACAGTCAATGCTGTATAGGGTGGTTTTACGACACTAACCTCACATTTCTTTATGGTGCATCTGACGGGCACAGAGAAGGGACCCAGCGCAGACTCAAAGTGGACCTCACCTTCCAAGTCCTCGTTGATCTGAAAGGGATTAGATAATGGGACATGTGGTCGCTTTACAGCGGGAAACTGAATCATAAATAAACCTAAAATGAAATCAGGCAGAAAATGAGTTGGCTGATGAACATATATCGAAAATTGTATTTTCCCTTATTTGTTCTATGTTTTTTCGACAGGGACACGTGAGACATTTGTAAGGTTTTTGGATTTGACTACAAAGTTGTAATTTGTTTGTTAACATAACTCAGGGTGCTGGAGGGAAAGTCTGAGGCCTCACTGCTCATGGTGGTTATGAGCAGATCAGTCATAGACTCGGTAGCATAGAAAAGGCATTAAGCAGACATCCCACTTCGGAGTTATTAAACTGTTCATCTGAGGTGCATATAAAAGACACAATTAAATCTAAAAATCAGAAGCATAACTGTGTAAGCATTATTTTCACTTTAAATCCAATGTGTTATATACCAGAGCAGACTGTGATTGACTGCATCATAAAACAAACAATTTAAACTAGGCTATATGAAGAATAAAGCACAAATAAAGCTGCGTGCTGTTGATTGTACAGTAAATATAGCATATTGACTATTTATGTACATGCAGTAACACACATGTGATTATGTACAGACACTAAAAGGATGAATGCACTGCATAAGTCTAAAAGCAGCGCTGATGTTACTGACCGTAGGTTGAAAAACAGCCTGCATGTCACATGACATCCCAGTGGATAAAGAACCAGGAGGCGCAAAGCTGAAACACAAATGAGGAGTTATGCAAAAAAAAAGCATTATTTCTTTTACAGATTAAAATGAAATGCATTGTTAAATAACGGAAATCCAAATGACTTTCCTATGGTTATTCAACTGGATTTTACACAGTTAGGAGAGCTCACAGTAAAATATTGATCCCATTGATAAGTCTCTGCTGTGTAACACAATGTTAAAGCAGTGTTTATTTCTGACCCTCCGCGGCCTCACGCGGTTAGATTAATGACATCAAACCGGCTCAGTGGAAAGAGTTTGGTTTTAAAGCACCACAGAATGTTCATGCCTTTGCATTAGAAGGTATGCTGCTTTTAACTAGAGAGCTTCAGATGAAATGCCAAAGTGGGACAAGTCTCCGGAGACTGGAGACGATCAGCGGAAGATAGAGGTCGAGGGTCAACCCGGTGCTCAGTTAACACAAGGCAGAGAGACAATAAGCTGTTGTTCCATGTGGAATTATTTTGTCATAATCTCAAACTGTAAAAGGGAGTAGAAACCCAAAGTTTATTTCTAGACAAGAGGGGAAGGTACGAGGACAGGGAGGTATTAACAACATGTGTGTCTCACAGCACATGTTCACGTTAACACTAATACGGCCCCGAGGGCCCAAAACAAACTCCACAACTCGCTGCCCCTCAAGAAAACAGACAGGAAAAAAAGGAGATCGATAATAAAATATAGAAGGCAGCCAGCCACAGAGGCCGGGGGGCTTCTCAAAAATTCAATATATGAAAAAGAAATTGGAAACATGCAACTATGAGCATAATTAGGAAGCAGTCCCAGAGCATCATGGATACCAAACAGCCTTGTTACAGGGTCCTGGTAATGGCATCTGCTCACACAGGTGGAAACAATGTATTCCGATGGCAGTCATGCGCTTTTTTTGTAGATTAAAATATATAAATGTTGACATTTTGGCCTAAATACACAATCAAGGATACATAGAGAAAATAAATAGTAGATGACCTGTTAATATTTTATTTGATAAACCCAAAAAGGTGAATTATGTGCAATTGTTAGATTTCTGTAATACATGATAGATTTATAGGCTTGAAAATGGTGACATCATTGGCAATCCGAGCATACTATAATAAACAGCAGTGTGCAATGGACTACTGCATTTGGGTTGAGCCAACTATTTGAAGTGGCTGGTACAGCTGTCCGGATGGCTGGCTGAAGCTGGTATCCAGCTCACCACTGAGCCCTGGACGTGCATGAAAGCATTCCAACTGGTTGGCTAAATTTGTTGGTAATTATGAACATCACACTGCACTTTCATTAGAATTCCTGTTTCATTTGGTTAATTTCCTTCCTTATTGGTACAACTCTTCCAGTCAAGACAGGCGGTATTGAAATGACACGCAAAGAGAAAAAAAAAAACTAGAACAGTTCACTTGGGAATCGATGCTGAGTGAGGCGAAGTTTGAAAACGCCCTATTTAAAGGGCTTCAAATAAGGCCACGCTGTGCAGTAGATCTATTGCGGCAGACTGACGTGGCGAAGCGGATGAAGCGCAGCTGCACGGTGCTTCTGATAGGCTGCGCTCTATTTTACGTTGAGGCTCATTGGTTTTTTCTGCAGTGAATCAATAAACCCTCTCAGTTTATTATTCAGTTCGACAGAGCTAAAACACTGTGCTTTACAGTGAAGCATCAGGACTCTGACGAGATGTGAGATTGTTACTTGAATAATCTGGCTTTTGCACCTATTTTGCTCTCTTTGAATCTATCGGCCACAAAATAATGCATATTTCTGCATTTTAGCTTTGGAAGTGATATGAAATTGAGTGTTTTTAAAGAATATGGAGCTCCACTGCAGTTTTGACCGGTGTTCCTATTGAATTATTTCTTTTTAGATTCGTAGTCAGAAGATGAATAAAACAACAAGCGCAGTTAAGTGCAGCACGGTTTTCTGATGTCAGTCATTGAAATTTCCTTTGACAGATTACAAGCACTTTAGAATGAATAAAAGAAACCTGTATAAACTTTTTTTTTATCTAAGATGTTTTAATCAGCTATAACATACAGCTGTCAAGTTTGTAGAGTCACAAAGTCTAAAGGACAAATCAAAGGCTGACAGACCACTTTGAAGATGGCTGAAACTTACTTATGATAATATTAATTACGGTTTGCTCTGATCAGATGTCTAGTTAGTTAGACTTGGAGGTTCCTTTTTGTTTGTACAAAATGCTTACACAGTTTGTAATTAAGTAATATCCACAGCCTGGATGCAAAATGAAAAACTGTGTTGCTTTACAAATCTACTCGAGCTTCCTCTCTCCAATAGCAAAACACGCCAGCAAGCGACACTTGATCCATCTTGTAAAATACTGTTTTGAAAAATGTGAAAATGTACTACTTTCATTATTATTAATAATCAAATGAATTTCCCATACAGTAGTGGTCTGGGCCGCTGTGTGTTTAGTCCCACTAGTGGAAACGTACAGGAGAGCCCATCCAGGCACGAATGCACAGTGTGTGCGCGCTGGTCGGCGGGTGTCGGGGGATGGGAAGCCATTTTTAGACATTCTGGGGGCGTTCAGGGAATCATCGGATGGTGTGAAAAAAGCCCAGTTTTTTCCTAGTTCACATTTCTCTTCCTCCTGATGTGCTAATGGTTTCAGCTGAGAGCCACAAAGGGTTTGCGGTTGTCATGATCTCAACATTGTAAGTAAACAAACATCACAGGCAATGAATAAATGAATAGTGCATGACCGGTGCAATGGCAGAAATAGGTGAATCTGTTGAAGTATAATTACATAATACAATGTTTACGTTAGTATTCTGTAAACATGATCCAACATGTATTTAATCCATATTTTTTTACTCATCTTTTTAAATCAATCTGTCGTTGAGCTTATTCCTCCCCCACTAAAATGTATCAATACAGCACCGAAAGAATAACAGGTTCATTCTACCCAATGTGTCTGTGGAACATCGATCATTGTTCTGGTTCTTATGGTCTGGTTTCATATTTGAGTTACTCAGCAGCTTAGAAAATGTCTTGGTAACCTTTTCTTCCGACAGACTTTTAAGAATAAACAACCACTCAGACATTAATACAGAAATGGCTCACAACTGAGAAGGTTATATATAACCTGCAATAACACTAAATAATAAAATTGTCGTCTTCCTTGCTGCTGCTGAGCAGCACTCAAGTGCCTGATGAGAAATATAAATACGGCAACATCTTTGACTGTAAAGGGTTTATATTGATGCGTTTCTTAATACACATGGTCTCCACTTCATTTTGGGAGATGGACATCTATCAGCAAACAACAGGAAAGCACGACGGAAGGAATAGGGAGTTGGGTGGGTATAACATACACTCCATCACAGTACGGGTGCGAGTAAGGACCAGGGGGACTAGAAGGTGATACGTTCAGACAAGTGGCGCAGCACGAAAGGCTCCAGGACGCCGCCGGTGGCCCCCGGCTGACCCTGCTGTATCCGGGGGAAGCTCCGTCAGGCGGAAAGAAGAGAGACGAAGGAACCGCATCAAGCCGCCGTGGAGCTGATGGGAAAGTGATACGCGCTGAGTGACCTGGAGAACGAGGCTGAGGGAGACGTAGACTGACTCACCGAGCCGAGCAAGAGGAGCTGCGATCGCGGCCATGCAAGCTGCCGTCAATATGTGGGAGGACAGGCTTTGCTTTCACGTCCGCTCCAACGTCTTTCAAAAGGACAGGAAGTGGTTGCGTAGAGCTCCTACGTGGTGTTACATCAGCAGATTGAAGCGACCAAACGTGTAGTAGCTTGATGGGAGCTTTAACATCGTTTGTTGTACACACCTGTAGCCCTGGCGTTGTCACAGAAGACAGTGTTTATTTTGGGTGTCTATTTTATCTCTGTTAGGTGAATATTTTCCTCAAATGGGAGTTATTTGTAGTGGGCTGCTTGATGCATTGGTGGCAGGTATCTTCTAGGAGAGAATGTTCATGTAGTTCTTCAATCAACCTTCTTTCGTAGTGATGGGACGCTACGTAACCACGGCACATGCCTGTTGTAATTACCCAGAGGATGAAGATCAATTTACTCCCTGTGCGTCCAGTGGAGCCTTAACACAGACGTTCAAGGAATTTGGATGTATCTATTTGACATTTTCTAGGTAGCATTAAGGAAAATTGAAAAATCCCATTTAATGTTATATCCTATTAAAGGTGAGCACCAATTCCATGCATGGAGGTCTGTTTACAGGTCTCGGAGTGTGCTTCCGTTGTTGGTTTCAAAGAGCGTAAAAGACTTCTGCCTCTACGGGAATGTAAAACCTTACCTGATGGAGAGGAAGTCTTTCAGTCGGGCGGAGACCCCGAGGAGCTTGCAGTGGTTGGTGACGTAGCTGACGTTAGTCAAGGCGATTTTCTTCTTATAGATTATCCCAACTTCAAAGTCCTAAAAAAGAACACTCGCTGTAATATCAGTATTTCACTAATAAAATGCATCAACAAAAGATAAAAAACTATTAATTGAGCTTCTTTGAAGATATGGACTTCTTTCAGGAGGTGTAGTCTGCAGAACCAGGTACCTTGAAGAAGACGACCTCTGGTTTACTGATGAACGGAGGACCTTTCAACTCTGTTCCATGAACCTTTTTAGCAGGAATGTTCAGTGCACCACCGCCCATTGCTGCTTCTTCCTGCTTAACTTCTGACTGCACCGGGGCCCTTTTCTTATTCTGGAGCTTCTGAAACCACAAAGGGAGGCAAAAATAAAAACGCACTGACAAATAAGAAATGCCTGGTGAATATGAAACTCAATCAAATTCCATACATAAATTTGAAACTGTCAAGTTCCCATTGTATATGGTCCACATATATGATGGCTAATATTGGCTTAAAAAGTAAAACCTACTGGGTTACCCTGGTTAGTTACTCATCCTCTACACATTACATGTGCTGTAGGGCAATTTTCGGTCCTACCGATTTACTAATCCAACACATCCAAAGCCTCTTTTTATTGGTGCGCAGACGACACACAGCCACGCCTTCCCTTGAGACCTGACAAGCCTATCTGCTGTTTGAGATTGTTTTAGTAATCTCAATGTATCAACTGTTTTTTCAGGCCACAAATCAATATCTCAACATCTCAAAATCCCAAATAAAATTATTTTTGTTCCATATCCGTCCCATTTTAAGTGGGTCCACCACCAGATTTAAGCTTCAAACAACACATCACAAAAGCTTTCCAGTCCTGTCTTCTTCAAATCAGAAATCCATAAATCAAACCAATCCTCTCTTTCCTCTGGTCTGGAAAGAGTAATTTATGCAATAATCCTTTTCAATACTTCTGTCACTCTTTCCTCTCTGACACCAAAGGTCACTGATGACATCACATAAATGTCGTTGGTAACAAGAGACTGCATTTAAAGAGGTTAAATGTTTGAGATCATTTAGAAAAGATTGCTTGGTTGGAAAAGGATGACAACGAATATATGAGATGTGGAAGGGGTTAGGGTTAAGGTAGTTTTACAACATTTAAGTTACTAAAGGAGAAACAAAAGAGGTAAACCATGTGTTCATAGTGTTAAAAATGTGTTTTCCACTCGTTATGATCATTCTGTCCCTGCGCTATTCTTACTGCATTGCACAGCACTCATCATTGTCCCCCTCATGAATCATCTCCTCAGCCTTGTTACATTGCCGCGTTCATCTCTCGCACAAGCCATTACTGTTGAGAAGAAGCCTTTGATGAGGAAATGAGTCTAATCTGTTCGGAGGAGCGACCGCCTCCTCTCGACCCGCCAGTTGCTCGCAGCTGTGATCTGCGGCCCGGCGCTCGCTGCGAGGCCTTTAGAGGCTCCAGCTCGGGGAGAAGTGACGCCTGACGTCCCACATTTCAAGTGCGTGGACTGGCTGGGTGAGACAGACAGCCAAGTCACCTCCATGGCCGCCAGCGAGAGACACTTTATCAACAACCTGCCACGGAACCGCCCTTGAGCAAGGCACTGCGTCTTCGGATTGAAGAAACGTCAGAATGTGATGCTGTTACTGCAATGAAATGCTGATAAACAGATTATACCGTCTTTTGTAGTGAACCTGGCGACAGATCAGCTAAGCCTACATGTGTTGAGGTAGATAATAAAACAATACCAGCTTTGGGTTTCTAAATCTGCAGTGTAAGAAAGTCAGCTCTGGTCTAGTATTTTTTATCTTATTAATGAAGGCTGCTAGTGGATTCATGGATTTAGCCTCCTATAAAGGCGCAGTTGCTGTAGAAACGAGCAGACAGCACTGAAGATAATCCACCACAAATAATGATAATAATAAAGTATCGGTCACATGGTCTTGAGCAGTTTTTGATTTGGTTTTCCAACAGTGAATTTCCAAACGACATTATTAAAACTTTTACTATAATATGAGATGAGAAGCAATAGATGTGGCGGCTGTGAATGGGACCGAATGGGAGTGTTTGCACTTGACAGCCTGCAAGGATTTGGTTTTGGTTGGCCGTGGCTCGTTTTAATGCACCTCCTGGTTCTGCTCCCACAGCCCAGAGAACTCGGGCTCAGCCAGGCTGTCAGCGAGCCTCTGGTGCTCCTCCTCCTGGGGCACGGTTCCCTCCACGTCCTCAACATCAGAGGAGGCCGACGATGAGCTGCTGACGTCACTGAACCGGATCAGCTGCTAAAAAAAAAGGAGCACACCCATCGGGTCGTAGTCGTTTCCACGGATGTCGTCTGGGACGTTGCGAACCACTCACGTTTGGCGCTCGCTCTACGGGGGCTGATGGGGGTCTGGGAGCCAGGTAGCGGAGGAGCTTCTCACTTGCCCTCCCCGGTAATGGGACCTTGTGACAGGTGGAGGGTTTGGGCACCAGTGCCTGCTGTCTCTTTCTGCTCTTTACCTGCTGCTCCTCCTGAAGGATCTTTGCCACAATCTCCGCTCTCTTTGACTTCTGCCTCTCCTCGAATTCCCTGAGAAAGGGCGAATCAACAACACCGCATTATACTGAAATGGCAGCCATGTATTCTTCAGCACACAGCGAGAGAAAACGCCCACACACTGCTGCATGGCGTGGGAGTGGAGGACACGCATGTGGGAGAGGAGAGGACGTACGCTTGTTTTCGTTTTATCTCCTCTAGTTGTTTCTGTTGGTAAATATGCTTGATACTGTTGATTCCTTGGGCCTCCAGGGATTCTCTTAGTTGTGTCTGTCGCACCTCTTCCTTCTGGGCATTTACCCTGGCTCTGCTTTGCTGCACCCGTAAGCTCTCCTGAAGAAAACACATTAATGAAGAAAATGGAAGAATATTTTTGACCGCGTCGCGTCATCTGATGAATCATCTGATGAATCTGACCAGAGTTATTTTTACCCTAAGCTATGAAATGCACCTGTTGAGCGTGGAATTGTAAAATACAGCACTCAGCATAATTACGACAGCATTGGTAGATTATGATCATGAGTGTGTAAGTACTGGCGAAAAAAAGCAGAGAGCTGAATTTACCGCATTCTGGGATCCGTGAGGGGGTGTAATAATGAGAAAGAAATGAAAATGTGGTTTCTGCTTCATATCTCTCCTCGCCAAGAGGAGAATTTGGTCAGAGTGGATGGAATAAATATATCCAGGTCCAAGTGGCATTAAAAAGGTACAATGGTTTATTTTGGCTTTCCCTGATAGTGTTGACAAGTTGATTATTTGTGTACAGTGAGTAGTTTGCATGTAAGATACAAATGATCAGAGACATTAATGCAAACAAGTCACACAACTCTTTTATGCATATCACACTGCAACATCTGCCCCTGAATCGGAGCTATTCATGCTATAAAAACTACAGAGCACAAATCTATTTTGTTAATACAGCACTGATGGCGGTGAAATTAATTAGGACCCCTCGACTGAATTAATAATAATCAGAGATGGACATTCAGTTTCATACATTCCTAAAGTTATGCACAAATAAACTCCAGTTATAATGCATCATTAAATAGAGTTGGCACTCCTTTGCACCTTGGAGTCTTTCTTATATGACACGATAGATATGGTAGATATAAAAAAAGGTCACATGACTCTGCAGCTAGTGTTTCTCATTACTACAGAAACAATGCTGATATTGCTACAGATCAGTATGAGAAGGTGTTGCTCACCTGGGTGGCTGCTATGTTCGATTTCAGTGAGTTGACCGCCTGAATCCTCTTTTCCAGGAACTCCCTCCTCTGCTGCTGCTTCTCAGCGTCTTGCCGCTGCATCCTGGAGCAAAGGGGGCACAGTCCCAGAAAAACAATCGTCCGTTACTGCACGCATCAATTACCATGACCCAGAGAAGTGAGTACCATCCAAATATAACATATATATATTACTTAAGCTCTTAGGGGGCTTACTGTTAGAAAACACTGTTCAGCTCAGGTTCCAGACACATAAGCATTTATAAAATATACAGATGCAAATATACATCTATTCCAATGAATTTGTTTAGGAATGGTAAGCAGAGGAAGTGATCAGACAGAAGGAAAGGCGTCTGATTGGCCGATAGCTTCCTTCACGGTTCCAAGCAGGAAATGAATGTTAATCAAAGAGTGTTGTCAAAGATATTTTGCTTGAGTCTACAGTTTTCAGCCTCTGATTAATTGTCTGCATGTAGGCTCCTCTCATAATAAACCAGTGCATATCATCTTGGTAACCGGGTAACATGTGACCCAGTGGCTCATTGATGTGTTTCTGGCGCTTAACAAACCAAAATATATCAGGCCAGACTTACTCAGGGAACACTCGCAACAATCAGTTTATTCTTGTTTTGGTATGATAATAACACACTCTAAAACACTACGAGAGCTTCTCCTTTAAGGCTTGTAGGTGGGCTAGTGTGACCACATTGGCTTTTACTTACACACCCGGTGTCACTTTAGACTTTCACCCCATGCTGAAAGCTAATTTCACGTCCAAGAGTGTATTTTTTAAGTTTTTTGTGAGGGGGCAGAGAGGTTTTACCTTCTGTACATTTCTTTGTGCTTTCAAATATGCTGTCTGGCCCACATGTGATAGATGTAGCCAGTGTGAGTAAATGTTCAGGAGGATATGTCGACTCTCCAAAGAGTCCTCAGAGTGACACCATATTCTTGTCCCAGTTAAAGCCTTTTCATTGGCTTAGAAGCTGATTACCTTCTGATGGTCTCTTTCAGGTACTTGGCAGCTATCTTGCGGTTTGCCCGTCCCTCTTCAATTTTCGTCTGACATTCAGCCTCCTCTTTCTTCAGCATGGCTGCCTGTTTCCTAACGGAACACAATCCTAACCACTTCAGTCACGGCCTTGGCTTTTCAAGGTTGATAGAACGGATTCCCCATGCAGGCTTCTGATCAAAGAATCAATAAGAAAATGCTATAGCACAAAGTCATAGTACAAATATTGCCTCCATAGGAGCGTGGTACTTTGGGTATACTTTGATGCACTAGTTGTCATTTATAATCATTTACCATGTGCATGTAAGCGGCATTTTGCTGAAATCAGACTGTCAACTTACTTGTTAAGAGAATAACTGTGTACGCTCAACATAGCAGTAGCTGTCACACACACACACACACACACACACATAAAAGGCAAAAGACAAAAGGCCATTGTTTCCCCTACTGCTTGAGATGCTGCATCTTGAGCTGCAGGTTCTGGCTGGCTTTCCTCTCCTGCTGCAGCCTTGTCGATGCCTTCTGGTTCTTATGGGCCTGGAAGACTCGCTGCTCCTCCTGCACCTCCTGCCGGAGCGAGGAGAACCTGGCAAGCTCCACCTCCACCTCCCTCAGGACAAGTCTGAGGGGGAAAGATGCAGAGGGAGATGGATGTAGACCTTTCTGACTGTATGTTATCTACCAGTAGTCACTTGTTGCAGTAGAGGCAAGAAGCTAGATCTATATGCGGAAATGCGGCTTTGATTGATTCCTTTTTAGTTTTATCAAATGAAGCAACTGAATCGATTGGTCTGGGAGGGAATCCCTTGACGGGTGATGAATGGAAACATTTATTATTTAGAAAAACAAACACTTGTTGTTGTTTTTCTTTTTTGTGCAATGCTCCCTACTGTCAAATGATTCTCCTCTCTGACTCACTCTTGCTGTTTCAGCCCGGTGTTGACGTGGCCCTCCAGTTCCTCCTCACTCTGAAGCTCTTGACACAAATGTTTATGTTGGGATCGCAAACGAAACACAGCCACGCTGTAGATTAAAAATAAACCATGAGTGGAATACACAGTGATTGGACAAAGCAGGGACATCTCATATGTGACTAGAACGAACAGACCGGTCACCAACTCGCCTGTCGTCTGCTGCTCTCTGTCGCTCGATCTCTCTCTCCAAGTTGTCCCTGTGCTTCACCAAACTTTCAATGTTGTGACGACGGAGTTTAAGCTCTTCTCTGAAACAAATAACGAAGGAAACATGAAATAACACGGATCAGGGGTTGACATTGAAAACATCCCACATATAAGCAAACAAGAATGAACATTTTCAAGGCTGTTAAAGTGCAATGTACACAAAGCATCAAGTTAGGGGTCTACTTGTGGCCATTGCGGTAAAATGACACAATTATCCTGGTTAACAAGGTAATCTAATAAAGATGTTGAAAATCTGAGAATGGACATACACACACGCACACACATCAACAGCTTTGAATTGCCCAATGTTTGTTTTTTGCAGTTATGCAAAAGAACAATCTGTGATCGGGGAAAAAACAAAATTACGGCTCAGGTTACAGCGAAAGCTGCGTTGCGGTTAATACTCAGGTGTGCTTAGCTTCCATTAAACTCACGTCTGACCTTTGATGTTTTCTGCTAAAGGGAAATAATAGCTGTTTTTTTTTGTTGCTCAGAACTGCATCACAGTTCATTGGGTGCGTAATGGCTCGATGTGCAGACAAATAAAAGGAGGGAAGGAAAGTGTGAAGAGAGGACATTATGGGAAATTTTCTCTCTGCGGTTGAAACGATTTACTGCAAATAGCTGAATCAATTGGTGTAGAAATGATTGGCTCTGGGGGAAGAGGGCAAGAGGGGAATGACCTGGGAAAGTGGAAGAAAACAAGAAAAAAAAGGATCTATTCCAGAAACTGTTGTGGAAAATTGTTTGGCTTCTTCGTAGCGCTACTGTGGCTCTAAAGGTCTGCAGATTGCCAGGTCCGGACCTGGCTTTCAGCACGTCACGCTCCTTCTGTCGGTGAAAGCAGTCCAGCTGGTCCAGGTTTCGTCTCAGCTTGAACATCCGTGCTGTCTCGGCATAACGCCTCTTCTTACCGTCCACGGCCGCGACCGCAAGGTCGCCATCACCGTCAACATCATCATGGTCATCTCTACGGGCAGATGGGAAACTACATTCAGCAAAGGTTGCATGTTTAATGCGAAATCTGACACAATTATACCACCATTATGCCTGGATGTTTTTGAACTGATCACAATCTTAAGGAGCTTTGCTATTTTCTATCAAAATATCATGTTGAGAATTACAAGAACAGGATTGATTGATATGACATATATTGTATGATATGAACACAGAAAGGCAAGAATCACTCACTCATACAACTCCTCTAACCACTCCAGATCAGGAGGGAAGGCCAACTCTTCTTCGGTAAAGGTCCCCTGGACTGAAAAATCTTCTGAAATAAATGTTTTAAGTGACTGATCCCACTCAAAAACTCCCGTGAAATAGACACTTATGTGTATGATTGTGATTGAGAGTTAAAGATATCTTGGAAGTTGAGACTACTGGAAGACACCAACAGGGGTTGTCACTCACCATCACTGTCCTCATCAGTGCTGAGGTGGACACTTGGCAGTCCACACCTGTCGGACGCCACATCAAATGGACTTTCCCTATCTTCCACGTCCATTTAACCTGATTTATGAATGACACTGGGAACAATTTAGACCTTCATCATCTCCCCGAGATTGGTCCGAATGCCAGCACACCTCTTCAGTTACACCTCTTCAGTTACCCGGCAATTTAACTTAGCATCGTCCTTTGAATTATTGGAAGCCAATGCTTTTATCCGGCGGACACGGCCTTTATTGATGACCAGTCAGACCATTCTTTTGGCATAATTTCAATTTGCTCTAGTCGCTTGTTACAACGCTGGTTTCTGTTAAAATGTCATTTTAAAATTGTATTTAGAGCGTTAGCTATGTCCGCCGATTAAAAGATGGACTCTTACTGATTTTCAGCAGATGTGAATTCGTATGTTTGAGGTATGTGACATTGCCACAATGTGTGGTAACATTCAATGGCTGGGTTTCTGAGTGGAATTTGGCGTGTCGGTGCCTGACAGGCTAGCTTAAAGTGCTAACGTTAGCTAGCTACGCCAGGGAAGGAAGACAACTTGACAGCTAGCGTTAACACCGCTAATGCTGAATTTAGGCTTCTTAACACTTAAACAACTTCATTTAACAAACATAAATAATTTACCTTGCGCGTTAAGTATTTCCACCTATTGGCAAGATATTTTTATAAAAGTACTTTTTCTCACTACGAAAGTTAATCCGCCATGTTTGTTAGTGTTTCCAAGGAGACGGGACACAAGGGGCGGGGCCTGAAGACGACTACTGTTGAATTGGCACAATGGGATTTTTACTGGCCAGAGTCAAATGACGCACTAAAGCGGTCTTTTAATACATCATAGTGTTTAAGAGGAATCGAGAATAAAGGGGAAACATGAAGCTGATACAAGAGGTCACTTTTAATAAGGAGACAAATAAAGCCTGCACATTTTGACAGAACGAAGGAGAAATTTGCCATCAATCGTTTATTTATGTATTATCGTGAGGAGATCAAAATGCTTCTTGAAAGCGGGATCGTCATATCACACACACACACACACACACACACACACACACACACACACACACACACACACACACACACACACACACACACGCAAGGAAATGAGACAAATACAAATACAATATCATTCATTACTATCTCTGCACTCTCCCGAGAATCAGAAACTGACTTTGTGAAAACTCACTCAGTGCATTCATTAAAGGGGGGGGGGGGGGGGCACTTTGAGGCACTTGAGCCCTAAAGCTGTTTGCAGTTGTCTATTTCCACCAGAGTGAAATGCCGACCTTAATGGGCGTGATAAGAACGTGTCCGACATACAATAATATACTGACCCCCCCCGCCGCCCCCTTCCCCGGCCAGATAGAATCGATGTTTGGCCACGCAACGGAGAAAATAGACAGATTAGTGCCCCCCCCCCCCCCCTCTCTCTCTCTCTCCCTCCCCCTCTCCCTCTCTCTCTCCGCTCGGTTGCCGGCGGACAGACGTCGGGAGCAGCGTTGGATCGGCTCGTTGTCGCGGTCGGACCGGGAGTTTTCCTTTTCCTCGGTGCACTGTGCTCCTGCGCCCGGGAGTCGGGGATCATGACCATGGGGTCATCATCATCATCTTCATCATCATCGTCATCCTCTCAATCCTCCTCTCCCGCATCAGCACCACCGCACTTTACTTTTCTCTCGTCAGCACCGGATCGCGAGGGGAGCGCGTTGAGATAAAACTCCTGGCTGTTGCTTTTTATCGTCCGTTTCCATTCCGGGAAACTTTTTTCTTTCTTCTTTTTTTTTACACTAAATTATTTCCCTTAAAGCGTGTGGAATGGAGATCCCAACTTTCCTCATGGCAAGTCTCGCTGTGATCTTCTTTGGAGGGGATATTTTCACGTGGTGAGATCATATTTGCTTTTTATTTCTGTCAGTTGTCAAAAAGATGTTTATTGAAGTTGGTTAAACCACCGAAAAAAAGGAAAACGACCACTGAAAATGAAAATGAGAAGATGAGAAGATCATTGATATACCAATACTTACTGCAGGACGGTGCGTCACTAGAGAATCAACAGCATCATACAGAAAAATACTTGTAAGCTAAAATATCGCCAGTTTGCTGTGTAAAGCCTCCAATAGTCTCTCTGATAATATCAATGTACAGTTACAGTGAAGCTTCTCCTCACCCACAACAGTCTGCTTGATGGTGCTATTTGCATAATACACGTGCACAAAGAGAGGTGACGTTTTTTTAAAAATGTATTTTTTCTAATTTCGTATAGATGAATTCAATGCAAGGTGAGTGGGGGCGTTTTGTTGTGCAACGTCGCCCACTCCCAGGCCTGCTCCATCAGGGTCAGATGGTGCCATGATGGGTTACAACACTGTACAGCCCCCTCTGCTAAAAACAACAACTTAGACGCAAGCTCTGTTTGGAGAGTTTAAAGAGAGACGGGGAATTAACAGATGGACGGCCGCCGTCTAAAATACGCCACAGAATTCTGCTCCCGACGCCTCCTGACTGCTGCACGCTGAGCTGAAATGAGTCTTTTCACATGTATTTTAGGGCATCGCACTGCAGATTTAAAGTTAGGTGAGATCTGCAGATGAGGATCCCACGAGCTAAGACAACATTAAACTCAGTGCCATTTGGAATTGAATCCAACTGTGAGCTCAGATTGTCAGCGTTGTAAATGACCTTCTCACACAGCTGTCTTGAATACAAAGCAGGTTGCTTTTGTCAGCAGGGGGAACCCGGTGCACCCAGACCACGAGGGGTGAGTTTCAGTATACTTTATGTATACGTCTTCAATGGAGGCCTACAGCGCAGTCCTCTGCGTGCGGTAAAAATGTCCTCGGGCGCTCCAGTTCTTGGGATAACAAGCATCCACAGCTGAGCCCCAGTTTCCCCCCAAGACCGTATTCTGGCAAGGGGCTCCACTGAAGACCGGGCAGAGGGTGAAGCTACTTAGGCTCTGGGTGAAACTATGACAAATCACTTCTTTTGTCCCTCTCGGCTGTCCGCCAGCAGGGGGGTGGACCGCTACTGTAATTGGATTTTCCTGCCTCAAGTCACTGCTGCTAATATCATTTTGTATCCAGCACAATGCAAAGTGTAGGCTTCTCTTTGTTCCTCTCACACACAGAGAGACACACACACACACACACACACACACATTGCTGTTTTGGTTTGCGTGAAACGGTTTCCTTCCCTTGTGCCTCGCTCTGAACAGAAATACTCCAGTGCTCTTTTTAGCTCCTCATTTATCTCCTTCACCAAGGTTGCTTTGCTGAGTTACGCCTCGTCTCCTTTTTCTGTGGTGTAAATTTCACAGCTTCTTCTTTTCAGCTGACGTGTCACAGAAAGCGACTCTGGAAAGAACAGAATCCAGAGGATTACAGTTGGGTGCTGGACAGAAGAGCGCGTATCCTTTGATGCACGTTTTGTTCATCATGTTGTCCATGGTGTTGGACTCTCATGGAGCGCCATGATTGGACAGTGAGAAAGTCACGAACTGATAGAATCTACCGTCCAGGACACAGTGCATCGGTTTACTGAAACTGAAATGAAACGGAGGATAGTGTCGTTCAGAATACAGTCGTTATGATTTTCGATAAGCAATTGAATTTGTTTGCTACGATGTTAACGCACCTCTGTCACAGCAGCCAGCGTCACTTATTGGCGAAGAAGGCGTAACTAATTATCTAAATGACTAAGACATTAAAAGGTTCTCCGTTCAATGTTCAGAGAGTTGACACAGCATCAAACAGGTGTGGAGTAACGTTTACCTGAATAGAGACCAAAGTCGGCCTCCCTCTGTGTAGCTTAGCTAAACCATGTTTAAGCACAGCTAGACTATGTTGACATAGTCTTTAGCAGTTTTAATGCGCCGTGGTTACTGATGACGGCGTCAGGCTAGCAGGGTTAGCTCTGACCGCACTTTTCTGTTGGTTGCACGTGAGTGCTACACGTTTGCACCGCAGTTAGCACTGTTAGCCGCGAGCTGCCGGCTCAGCCGCTGCCACGTTGAAAGCGGCGTGGAGGCACGGGATGAGGTCGCTGTAGCAGCTTTGTTGCTGTGTCACGGCGACGCCTTTTCTGCCATAAGGTGTCAAACTGTCTGTTGTGAAATTATTGAGTATTAGTTAATGAAATCATGCTTCTCTGAAAAAGTTCAGCGAGAAAAATACTGCACCTTTTTTGATCATCTGCTGACAACAAAACACAACATGATAACCAAATTGAATATCTATCAGATGAGCTAACCACGATTTGGTGTTCCCTCCAGACTGCCTACTGCTGGATGATGGTAGAAGTGTTTTGTAGACTGTGGGATATTTCTCAATGATTTTGCATCTAATGACCACAACTAGCTGACACAAAAACAGGTCAAGCGGCGTGAAATTAAATGAAAGGTTGTATTTGGGGCTGACAGTGTAATACAATGACAAATAAATCTCTCATGCATAGTCGGCTGTAGTTGCAGAATGCACACAGGACAAAGAGAATAGGAGGTTTGAGGGTCAATAGGAGCCTCTTATGAGAGCCGGAGCTGTTGAATGTTAACAACAACATTTGATCATCCTGTCAAACAGTAGACGCTGTTATTTATCTTGCAACACAGACAACAAAATCAGTTGTATGTTTCAGCTTTGTAGAAATAAATAAAAAAACATTGAGACGTAAACACATTGTCTTACTCATGAGCTACTTCCGAATGTCATCATATAACAGTTCAGCAGCAAGATGCGACGCAGCAGGTTTTAATCCCAACGTGTCACGATCTCTCTGATCGGTCACACTCGTCCTTAAACGGCAAGTGGCGCAGTGATCCAAACCAATCTGTGTAAGAGGCTGAGTCAGCGGGTTAAATCTGTCCTGCTTTCCGAAGAGTACATTTCCCAATAACACGGTGATTGGATCATGTTCCTCTGGCTGCATGAGCTGGCTCCGTAAACACGACTGTCCTCCTGCGGGTTGAGGAGGTGAAGGGACACAGAAATGTAAAAAAACCCTTGATTTTAATCATGTAAGTATTTTGTTGTCAAGGATTTTCAAAGTTTCTCATTTGGGATTCCTTTCTGTATTTAAATACTTTTTGAAAAATCTCTTTAAAGCCCATCTGCAAATGGAATATTGTAGATAAACATGAATTATGTAATAATATAAAATGTCTTCAGTGAGTTATTTCACATTTTAAATTAGGGCTGTAGCTAAAACGAAGGACACTGATGGTCCTCTGCAATTTTATTTTTTTGATACATTGTGTGGGTTCTAGCAAGTTTAGGGTGAATAAATAACAACTTTATGGAGATAATATAAGATACGGTATATTATACTCCACTATTATACTACACTATAAATGTGTAGATTGGACTAAGTTCAATGATTGAACACAAGATTCAGTATTTCAGAAGTGTTGAGAAATCTCTGACTTAGACCTTAATGTGTTTTATTGAAATTCAAAAGTCCAAATGATTCAAAAGTGTAGAATGTTTGCTGTCTGTTTGTTTCTTAGAAAATATAGAAAATAATGCGAGCTCGTAACAAGAGTCAACTATTTAGTCTGACTAACAGTAATGAAGAAAAAAAAACTGAATCACCATTGCCATTTTCAAACCTGATAAAGTACTACAACTATTCAATATGTGAAACAAATAATTTGGACTTTCACAATAAGATGTATTTTGCATTTTCAAATGGCAGTTATTTATATATTTTTAAAGTAGAGCCTTGCGATAACCCAAAAACAACTGACATTGTAGCTGCAGGACTGCTTCTGTCTTCTCTTTCTGAAGAAGAAAAACGTATTTTATCAATCGATCTATTAACTCCAATTTGATAATATCAAATAATATCAAATTCATATGACAGCCTCTGAAATCTCTGAGGAAGCCCAGAGATCTGAATGCTTTTCCCACTCTGATGAGGAGCTTCTCTGCCCTGCAGGGCTGTGTGCCCGTCCAGCAGACCTCACTGTGTTTATCAAGAAGGAACGGAGGCCTCATTGCAAAGAGAGACCAGCCCGTAATTAGTGGGTCAGAGGTCAGACTCTCACCCTGCTGAAGTTCCCTTGGGCAGCATCATCGGGGTGACATCATCGGGATATATTCTTAAAAAGACCCTCTGGGGCCATGTAGGATATTACACCTCCGTTGCAAAATATTTATACTGAATGCATGTGATAGGAACAGAAGTATGGACACGTTGGTAAAAGTTAGAAACACATCATGTATATTCAAAAAGTCCACACTAACTATCATGCGACTCAGGGTGCTGACCCTGAAGCACGTGTACCCACACTGAAAACCACAGTGATTTCTCTACCGCTCAACGTGCAGGACCGCTAGACCTTCTTTGACTGAAAAAACAATATGGTTGTTAAAAAGTTGAATTTGATAACTGGTGCCCACTTGTTTTATATTTCATCCACAGTTAATAAAAAGAAGTTCGGACAAACACAAAATACAAAATATTTTCCTAACCTATTTTTCCTCCATGGACTCTATACCTAAACTAGTAAATATAAAGTGTCAATGTAGTTCATAAAATAATCTGTTAAAATAAAAGGGATCAATTATTTCCTGTAAGTCTCAGTTAATGCAACACAAACGCACACCCAGAGCTGCACACAGGCATATAAATGTGGCCGCTGCCTGCAGACTTGTGTATGTTTTATGATGATTTATCCAAATGGATCTCGCCGAGCTGCCCGTCTAACGTCGACGCCACTTAAAAAATTGACACACTGAGCGTAAACGTTGCGTTCACAAGAAGGCCCCATCAATTTGAGCGGGGCTGCTGCTCTTTATGTTTCCACTGCTCCGCCGCCTCTCCCCATCTGTTTAATGCCAGCTCATCAACAGACGGGTGCAGATCCAGGCCTCGGGGGAGACAGAAGGGAGAGGAGCGCCCAGGAACCAAACGCGCTCCACCGTTTGTCATGGATGGAGGAGTGAGAAGATGCAGAGGTTCAGTTGAAAGTTTAGAGAATCTCCATGGAGAGCAAAGAGACGGTCGACCCCTCACATGTCTTTTTAGCTCCTCGGAGGGCTGCGTGTGTTGCAGTTGGGGTATTTTTGTGGTTGGAAAATGCATATTTTGGGTCAGGAAACCTCACATTTTTCTGAAACAACATAAATTCCGAGAGTCAGATGAGGTCTGATCTGCTCTTTAGAGAGCAGCGTTGAATTAAAGCGATGAACTGTGACAGTGGTCCATTTTGTTAGTTCATCACAAAATATTAATAAAAAGAATGTGGGAATAAATGGTGTTGCAGGTCTAGTAAGTCTCTCTGATAAGTATTTTTGGAATCGTCCAATCGTGGAATAGTCACCTACAGAAGACCTCTACAAAAGTGAATTGACAAAGAAAGAAAAAGATGATATAGTTACAAATAAACCTCAGGAAGTTAGGGATGGCAATACCAAGAATACTGAAAAGGCCCTGAAAATGAATAGGAAGGTCCAATAAATGGTCCAATACGGCACAGTAGGATTTGTCCCTATAGCAGACACTCCTCCCACCATTTGAGGAGGCCGGTTTGAAATGGAGCGCTGATGGTCTTTTTGAAGGAAAAGCTCTTTATTTCCATATTTAGAAAGTCCCAATTAGTGAAGAAATCCTAGAGTCACACAGTGATTCATTAATTCACTCGGTGCTCTCATTTACTTCAGAAATGACAGTGATTGCCCGACTAAAAATACATCTTTATCTACAACATTCATTTGAAAGGGAAATGTTAATGTTAATTTTTTTTGTTCTTACTAAAAAAAACTATTTCATAATTATTTTTTACTGAAGAGGTCAGTTTTCCGCCCTGGGTGTAATGCTTTGTAATGTAAGTCGACTTTCTCCAAATGTCAGCCTTATTTCAAAAGCCACTGACTGGCTCCTCATTGTTGGTTAATAACTACGCCTTCGATCAAGCCCCCATATGGTCCATTTTATGGTCAATGCCAACACCAGCCTTTGTGACTGTGAATGTCAGTGAAACCTTTCAGTTCATTCAAGACATTCATCACACGTCGGTCAGCTCTTTCAACTCTGGATGGCAGTTCAGCTTCTTGGATCAGATTCTTTGTAGGAAGATGTTGGTGGTTAACCCCCCGCTCATGTAGAATGACAGCACGGTGTCTCCCATGGCCACCTGACAAAAACTAAAATACAAACAGGTCCATACATGCAACATTCATCTGCATGTCGTCTGTTTACAGGCTCTGTTTCAGAATGCAAAGCTGCCACCTGGTGGAATCTGAGCTGTGCTGCCGCTGTTAAATCCTGCACAGAGGCGATGTCTGTCCGCGCGGGCTCTGGGACCTCTAGGACTCCCCCCCGGGGGAAAACTTTTCATAAGATATATATAAAATGACTCCCCCTATATTCTATTTTTCCCCTCTCGAGAGGTTAGAGGAATGGGAGAAGCCTGCTCGAATTGCTAACGTAAAAGTGTGGCTACGTGGTCTAATGAGGATGAAATGGTCCCGAGGTTCATGCACTGAGGCACAGCCTGATGTTCGGTCTGAGCTTTGTGAAACCTGAAGCTGTGCTGCTAAATTTGGATCAGCCTCTTTGTGGAAACACTCTGGAGACACAAAAGGAGGAAATAATGCCAACCAGGCTTCAACCCATGTAGCTTTAATAGGCTTGGTAGAATTGAAGGCATTTGAAAAGATAAAAGAATGTCTTCATTTTCATACAAGAATCCCAGAGTAACGATAAGTTGTTTTTAAATGAAATGCGGCTGATGATAACACATAAATACATGATAAATACATTTTTCATGAGACTCTTCTGAGGGCACACCCCTTGCACTGAGAAATAGATGCATATGAATGGAGTGCTGTGCATCATATTCATGGATACATGAAGACAAAGTATCAATAAAAACACAAGGCACAAATAAAGCCTGATTAATCTAACTTTAATCTCATACATATTTATAGAAAAACATGTATTTTTATTGTTGTTTAAGAGACTATATTATTCCTACATTATTCATTAATAAATGAATAAGTCAAAAGGTGGATTTATTGGATGTAGCAAAGCTCTGTATATATTAGTTGAGTTTTATTCTTCTTCTCCGTGTAGATAAGCCCTTCTTACTAACACGTTTGCTTTAACTTCAAAGCTGATGATATGTCATTGTTGTGTTTACAGATTGTTTCTAGCAAAAGTAGCAACCCCCCCCCCCCCCAAAAAAAAAAACCCAACTACGCATCTTTAGAAGACAAATGAAAGACATGTTTTTATTTGTCTTTGCAGAGAATTCTAATCCTTTTTCCATCAACAGCTCCCAGTGTGTGTCAGTGAGTTTGGGACGTGTGGCTGGACGACCTCTGAACGCTGCTGTGTTTGCTGTTTCTCTCCTTTAGGGCCATGCTGAGTGACATTGGGGACTATGTAGGTAAAGACATTCAAATATCCTGGTTACCAAACCTGGATGAGTTAATGAAGGGCTATGCCAGAAATTTTCGCCCTGGGATAGGAGGTGAGTATGAGATCTACTGCTCCTGGCGTTGGGTTGCATTTCACCCCCTCACATTTACAGCCATCCTTAGCATCACCCGCCTCCAGTTGTTACAACATACGCCTCCCGCACCGGGCGTTCACATCTCATCCTCCAATTCCATTACCCCGAGAGGTTGTCTTCTTCTTTTTTCTTGTTTGACATTTGAACGAAGCCGTATTTGCCTCATGTAAATACCCGCTTTGACTCTTCTGTTAGCTGAGTCATTTGTTAAGGGCACAAAAAAAAAGAAAAAAACATAACGGTGAAGAGAGGTTTGTCGAGGACAACGTCCTTCAGGGACGGAGAGGTAGATGGGCGGTGCAGACGGCGAGCGCCGCTCCAAAGACGTTGCTAAGAATGGCTGCAAGATGTGAAACATCCAATGACCACAGCGATAGATTTCTCAATCTCACAGCTTAACTCAGCTGAGCAAAAGGTGAAAATGTGGAGCGCCGTCAGCTCGCACCTGCGCAGACCTGAGTGACATGATAGGAAGCTAAAAGGGAGGGCTGAGTAAGTCCCTTCATTCAAATCACATCCCATAACCGTTTACTTTGGAGTTATGTTTGCTAGCATTTGACTGAAATGAAATATATAAAAATATATGAAATTTGATCAAATATAAAGAAAAAGTGGATTGATATATGTGTTTTCTAACTTAAACATATATTCATAAATATGACTTTAGAGAATCCGCATGAGCAACTGGCAAATTATAATTTAAACCATTTATTTTGGTTTAACAATATTTGGTAAAAATAAAAGATTAAGGCTATATTATATACATCTAATATACAACCTTTGTACACAATTTGTACACAAACAAACCAGTTGTCTGTACTTTACAAAAAAGAATAACTGAACCCAGAGTTTTGTGGATTCCTTTTCAACATTACAACCATTCACATTTGATCCTATTCATTTTGTCGATGCTTTTGTCTAAAGGGACTTCCTATAATGTTAAATTGCATCCCTTCAAAACAATAACATGCAGTGTCCTGTATTACAGTTAAAAAGTATATCAACAACATCACCACATTTGAGTTCTTCCTTATTTCAAAACCTCTGAATCTTATTGTATTTGTTTAATATTCATGTATATGCTTTATGGTGCAAATATGCCATATTAACATTTTAGTATATTGCAAGCCATCTTTTTCTATTTTATTGGTCATGTAGTTGATGTTTTCCAAAAGGTATAATTCAATCCGTGCACAATCAAGGGTAATATGTAAAACATATTGCTATTGCTATTACATCAGCTGACATCCTCTAAGCGTGTGCTGCTGCCCTTGGCGTTCAATGAACACGCCATTGTAAATCACCTCACACCATACATCAAGTGTATGGTGTGAGCGGGCAACCAAATAGGATTCCAAATGGTTGAATGGTGGGGAATGGTAATGTATGATTCCATAATACTCTGTATGAATAGCTTTTCTGCTCTACATCAGTGCGCTCCCCTGTAGTTTCTGCCCTCTAGCATCCGATCACACGGGCACACTCCATGCTAATCATATGGCAAACTGTTGAGTGGAAATGTTAGCGCGAGTGCTGGTGTATGTGTGTGTGTGTGTGTGTTGGCAGACGCCCGCCCATGAAAGCCCAGTGCCGTCGATGAATGCCCGCAGTGTGATGTGCCACTTAGCACGGTTGAACTGGATGATGCTTAATCTCCCTGCACTGTAGGAGTGTTTGCGACGTGGGATGATGGTGGGCGGGAGGGAAACAGATGGGACATGGAGAGCGGATGGGGAGGGATTGACGCGCTTGAAAAAATGAGCAGAAAAGGTGTGTGTTTGGAGGCGAGGTTTGCTTTCTCCTCTCACTTCTCCCCCCCCCGCCACCCCCACCCCACCCCACCCCTCCCACAGGTCCGCCAGTGAACGTGGCCATGGCCATTGAGGTGGCCAGCATCGACCACATCTCCGAGGCCAACATGGTAAAGCATAGAGCAGCTTCCTCCACAGAGATTCTCTGTCAGCCCTGAACTTCAGTGCTGCGGCACAAATCAAAGATTTGCTATTTTGCATAATCCTGATTCATCCCACTTGAAGTGCTCGGTGTGAACACGTGTGACACACAGGCTGAGTTGTTAAATCATTCGATACTCTACTAGGGATTTGGGATGGAAGGAGGCAAATCTAGCGGATGCCCTGTATGCATGTGGCCCTGATTCTTTTCCACACAAATAAACATTTTCCTTGCTTCAACAAATACAGGCTGGCCCGACGCTAGAAACCAGGCAAAACCAGGATATTACACAGCTCCATCTTTTTACCTCTCTAATTATCGACCACAGTTTGAGCTTTATTTGTATTGACGTGTGTAGGTGCAAACCTCAGTCAACACAAACGGGGCTTTGTTTCATTTCACAAAATATTCTTCATAAAGAGTGAGTTTTGTTCCTTTTTCCCCCCCCGTAACGCTGCAGCGTAGGTGTTTTTATTCCTGTGTTCCAACCACGTCCTTGACCCAGCCTGCACGTTTGCATCGCGTGTTTGTTGGCAGGATTACACCATGACCGTGTACCTGCGGCAGAGCTGGCGCGATGACCGCCTGTCCTTCAATCACACCAACAAGACGCTGGGGCTGGACAGCCGATTTGTGGACAAGCTGTGGGTGCCCGACACCTTCATCGTCAACGCCAAATCCGCTTGGTTCCACGACGTCACCGTGGAGAACAAGCTGATCCGCCTCCAGCCCAACGGAGTCATTCTATACAGCAGCCGGTGCGAGCAGGCCGAGTATTGTAGCACCACCAGTGTTCATCCAAGGAACACAACAGTTGACTTGAATGACAAACTATATGATTCTTTGGCATTTGTTTGTCACCGCCTCCCAAAATGCTACTAATGAGGAGAGAAGAAGATGAATGGGATGGTTTTCTGATCCATGTCCTCTGTGGTTAAGCTTTTGTTAGGATTAGGCGAATCAATCGTCTTAACGCGTGGAACGAGGGACAGCGCGGTTTGTTTCTGTGAGTCTGTGTGAGTGTATAAAAGGGGGGCCGGGGGGCACTGAGGCGCTGTGGAGGAGCCGCAGACGGGAGGGAATCACCGGGAAGAGAAAGTACACTCGACAAATGACAGAGAGGGGAGGGAAACAGCTGTTTCTATGCATTTTTAGTTGCCATTGCCTGAACACGTCTTTGTATTGGTTCAGCCTTGCTGCGCTCGGCGCTCATTAGCATTGAGGCCTATTCCTCATTAGCGTGTGGGAGCATTTGACAGCTAAAGTGGCGGATATTTTTCACAGGAGCCAGTGAAAGTCAGAGATAAAAAAGCTGAGTGAATATTTGAGTTGTATTTGACAGGTGGCCAAAAACACGACTCCAAGTGAATGCCGATGTTGCCCTGTGTCTCTGGATGTGTAAACAAGCAAATGTTTGCCAAACATTTTGCCATTTTAACTTGATAAATGCCAGTGTTGTGTGTACTGAATGATGGAGAACATCTTGTAGTCACTGGGTAAATAGGTGGAACCGTGTGAAAGTGTGGTTTTAGACCACGTTGCTTGGAAGCAACAGATGATGCGCGTTGGGTCATAATTAACTGGGCTGCTTGGTTCCTAGGATCACTTCAACGGTGGCGTGTGACATGGACCTGACCAAGTATCCCATGGATGAACAGGAGTGCATGCTGGACCTGGAGAGCTGTAAGTCAGGATTTACATAAATAATGGACGCCAAGGAAAGGTAACGAAGTTAAATTAAAGACTGTATATATACGCTGTAGGAGGAAGAGCATGTTGTCGCCATGACATTACCCACAGTCTGGGGACGGCATTTTTTCCATCATCATCTTGCTTTTTTGGCCGTTGAGCAAATTCCAAATAAAACAGGTTGTAACGGACCAAAAAGGCTTTAATACCTTTCTGTGAACTGTAAAAGGGTTAAAGTTGTAAAACAAAACACAGACAACTCCCAGAGAGGATAACACTGTATAGCCCCTCCCTGGAGCTCCCGTTAGACCCCTAACGGGAATATAATACTAAATGAACCTGTGACGTATTAAAGACAATGGATAAGTGGTCATAAATCAATTAACAAGTAGGGTTTTTTTAATAGACTGCAATACATCAGACCTCTCTTTGCAAGCAGAGGAGTCACTGCATGCTGGCATTTAGAAATCATTTAAACAAGTTGAATAATAACCTTCTCCATCACTACTTCTACCCTCATTGTTTTTGTTGTTCCTCTTTCTAGATGGCTACTCCTCCGAGGACATTGTGTACCACTGGTCAGAGAGTCAGAAGCACATCCACGGCCTGGACAAACTGGAGCTCTCCCAGTTCACCATTACAGACTATCGGTTCGTCACAGAGATGCTGAACTTCAAATCTGGTGAGAATCCGACCTTCTCTGTTAGATGGATTTCTACTTAAAGTGAAAGCACTTTTCTGGTCAATATTCTATGCATAGAAGGAATGAATGAATGAAGTCAGGCTGCCTGAGCCAGGCAGGAGGTTCAAGAGATGATAGGAGGCGCTGCTGGATAAATCTATGCATGTTTTATCTTGAGGCTTTCTCACCAGGGGCACAAATGAGCAGATATCAATTTCACGATAACGGCAAAGCAATCAAACATTGTGTTAATTTCCCAAACACAGTGAAGCATTTCAGCGCAGTGTCGGTTTTCTTCTTCCCAGCTGGACGGTTTCCGAGGCTCAGCCTGCGCTTCGAGCTGAGGCGCAATCGAGGCGTCTACATCATCCAGTCATACATGCCTTCCATCCTGCTGGTCGCCATGTCCTGGGTGTCCTTCTGGATCAGCCAATCGGCGGTCCCTGCTCGTGTGTCCTTAGGTTGGTAAAAGTGATTTACTGTGCTGCAGCATGCTCAGGTAGACAACGCACTCCCATCAACGAGACTCCATGTCTCAAATGTTGAGTAGAAGAGTTCATCATGACGGAACAATACTGACCATTTTGCTATAATTAGAGCCTGGCCGGTGATGCCACCAGAGAGAAGACCAAAGCCAAAATATGTATATATGAGAAATGTTGTGCACTATGTTGACTTCCTTGTTTGACGGGGAAACCTCGTTAAATGTCCACGTTCGTCCTCCCAGGAGCATATCATCCTCAGTACATTTCATGGCAATAGCTTGACATCTGGCCAGATGGAAGCTCTGTTGGGATTTATTGCTCAAGTGAACAAAGGCTGAACAAAAAAACATTAATTGTATTAATTCAATTAATGTCAAGTTTGCTCTTAACCTTAGAAGAACGTCATGATGATAATCGGCGGCGGTTTGATGAGTTTGTGGCGACAGGTGCTGAGGGTGCTGAGGTCAACATACTTCACGTTGTCAGTCGATGGGAGAAAATGTCTCCATGTTAGTGGCCGTGTGCACTCGGCCACAACCCAGAATAATAACCCTAATCTGCACGTTGTTTCCACAGGGATCACAACCGTGCTCACCATGACCACGCTGATGGTCAGCGCCCGCTCCTCCCTGCCTCGGGCGTCGGCGATCAAGGCGTTGGACGTCTACTTCTGGATCTGCTACGTGTTTGTGTTCGCGGCGCTCATCGAGTACGCCTTCGCTCACTACAACGCTGACTACAGACTCAAAGAGAAGGCCAAGGTGAAGGCCAACAAGCTCAGCTCCGAGGTGAGGAGGCGTAATGCAGACGCGCGGGGCGGGAGTGCGGGGAAGGGGAGCGGCCGTGAGTGATGGGCGCAGACCTGCGTGCGGCTCTTCAAACGCCGCCGTTCGACAAGCAACCGTCGCGCCTGACCTTCAGCAAGACAACACGTCTCTATAGAGCATGATGGGGAAATGGAAGATTTCCCCTCAGGGAGTAATGGGGCCTCTCATCAAACTGTCTGTTTGCGTTGCTGTGGGTCTAAATCTTATTGAGGTGGAGCCGCACAATATGACGTGGATCAAATACAGTGAGATGACAGAAAGAGGAAACAAAACCTCCTGACAACACGAGGAACTGAAATGGACAGTGGGCACTTTACAAAGCTACCAAGGATATAAAGCAAACGAGCAGAGGAGACTTTGACACGTTTAAGGCCTTCTACTAAATATTGTACTTCTCCACTACATTTATCTACACGCTTTCATTACTATGGATTTGTACATGTCAAATCTATGTTTAGAAAAAAAATATTTAACTGTTGGGCGACTTAGTTGAACAACCTTTTGACTCACTTTTCAAAGAAAATCATTTGTAACTATTTAAATGCAGGGTTTGTAACAGAGTACTTTGGTATCCATATTTTTACTTCAGTTAAGGATACAAATACTTCCTCCTCTATTGAATAGTTTTCTCCAATCAAGTCCCGAGGACGTCCTGATGCGCTTTGTTCCAGGCGCAGCTGTGAGCACTCCTGCATTGTAACGTTTTATTTATAATATCTAGTGGCGTCAGATAAGTGTTTTCACTGCAAAAATGTGCAAACGCCATGTTAGTTAAGAAATGCGCAAATACAAAGTACCACTATTATAAAGCAAAATGAGTGTGAAGTTTCATTAAGTGATCCAGTAGCACAGTGCGGGTGGTTTAACAAAAAGCTTCGGGCATTCTAGGGCTCTTGTTTCAAATCTTTTGGGAATGATGAGAATACTGGATGATGTTATTCTCCATTCTAAAACACATTTTTGCTACTTCTCTTCTCTATTTATACAGGGTTTACACATTTGTGTGGTTTGCTGACAACAACGTTTGCCTCATTTGTCAAATATTCATTTCTGAGTCTCAGCAAGTTCCCTCTCTCTCTCTCTCTCTCTCCCCCACAGTCCATCGTGAAGAACGGCAAACAGGCCATGGTTCTGTTCTCCCTGTCTGTCACTGGCATGAACCAGGGCGTGATGATTTCCAACCGCCACGGTCGGCCCCAGCGCCCCAGCAGCGAAATCCCCGGGGAGGGCGGCAGCGAGGAGGCCGAGCCGAGGAGGAGAAGGTCCAGGCAGCCGGAGGAGAGCGCCGACGACAAGAAATGCTGTTCCAAGTGCGTGTGCAAGCCCATTGACGCAGACACCATCGACATCTACGCCAGGGCCGTGTTCCCTTTCACCTTCGCCGTGGTGAACGTGATCTACTGGGTGGCGTACACCATGTGAAGAGGAGGCGACAAGGTCTGTGCCAACGGCTGCCGTCCAGGACTGTATGTAAGGAACTGCTAGAGTTGTGCCGCTTCGCCGCTGGCAGACTGGCGCAGCGGAAAACACACCGGAGGCCTCCGAAAACCCCCCCACAATATACATTAAATACAAAAAACTTCAGAGGAAATGAAGTGCTATACGGCCAGGGAAGTCTGAAATACGGTAATGGAAGTAGTTATGAGTTTAGAAAGTGTTAACAGGATGTCATATTTAAAAAGGAAATACGGAAATGTGCTGCAGTAATGCAAAGGACTAAGTTGCCTATTGGGAGGTTCACATGAAATGTGAATCCCGACCTACACGCGTCCTGCTGTTGTAAGATCTAAGCACAGGACACCAAACAACACATTCTGCTCACAAGCGCACTTTGTGCAAATAAGCATAGTCGGCTTAACTAACTCAAAAGCAACAATCTAGAACCGCCTGTTATCTCGAAACCAAAAAAAGCCGCCCCAAACTAGAAGGATAACAAGATGAGGTGTCCCGCTATTCTGCATGGCTGATATCTCACTCACCCTCGTCCTGCACCATCGCCACCCCCTCTCTTCCTCTCCCGCCTTTGGTCCTCCACCCGTTTTCTCATAGATTCATTTTTTTTGTTCAGGACACCGTCTGGGGCGTCTTATCTCCCTCTGCCAGTTCTGTCTTTTTCCTCTCCATTAAAGGACTTCCACTACACTACCTGCGTGTGTGTGTCTCTTTCTCTTACTTCAAAAGTTCACTCTGAAATTCTGAAATATGTTGTTGGAGGTGAAAATTTGTCAATGCAAAAAATCAACCGCAGAGACTATTATTTAATTTCAATTCAAATTAAATTTATTTTTTTTCATCACAGTCTTCCCATTAGGATTATCGCTTCACTCTGACTAGTCTTCCAACTCTCTTATTTGTTCCGAATTAGAAGCAATTGTACAATTTATCTCAAGTTTGAGAATATGATGTTCATAAACCAAATATATGGATGTTATTTTATTTTAAGAAGCGTACGTATAATAGAGCTGAAGCTTTTGGTCTTGGTTGGATTGTGACACGTCCTGTTGAAGGGGACATCTTATTTACCCGATGTTGTCTCTGGTTGAAAGGTCCGACAGTCACCAACAGCATTAGGATTCATCCCCCGTGAGGCATTAATATTCACTGTAAAGGTCGCGGTCAGTTCTCACAATAGCTTTTCACGTACATGGAGTTGGTCAAAGGAAAATCCTGACGTGACAATGGGACGATGGAAAAGGTCAGGGGCTCTGCACGGAAATACCCAGACATATCAAGACCCCCATTGCTAAAAAAAAGCAATAAGAAATGCCTTGGAACATTTAGAAACACATTTCACTTGTAGGCCTATTCTTTTATTTTACTATAAAATGTGCCGCTCACATATTTCTGTTACAAATCGTTACATTTTCTTTTTCGGAATGTTTTTATATAATTCGGTTCTCCAATATCTGTGCATTTCAACCACAGGACTGTAAGGTGACGGTTTGGTACAGATGGATTTGGAGCAGACAGACCAAACCACGTCCTCAACGATTCCTGACTTTGAGCCTTAATATAATCGAAACCTGTAAATTGATAAAATAAACAAGATCCCGTCATGGACGGGACAATTTGCTAAGAGAACAAAAAAAAAGTGTATTTGTTGTAGGCTTGTAAACACATTTACTGTGCCAATGTTGTTAGGAGTTTATTGAATTGGAGTTCCTGGAACGCATTGGCGGAGGGGGGGGGGGGCATTAACATCTCCAAGGACCTCCTCCTCCATGTTTGTGTGCTCCATGAGTGCATTGGCCGGGGAGCGAGGCCGTTATCAGCGCCGACAGCGCAGAGGCAGAGCAGGCATGGGTGGGACCGGGGCAGGGCTGGGGGCTCTCTGCGCGACGGGCCGGCTTCTCCCAGAGAGATAACTTTGTTCTGGGCCAGGAGGGGTGACATCATGACGGATGGCACATGAAGAAGTGGGCGCAGTGGGGGGGGGCAGGAAAGGCCTATCTCCTACAATGGCACCAAAGGGACGTGGAGACGCGCACATGCACTACTGCTCGCTGACACTCCAGTGGGCTTGAACAGCAGTCACACACACACACACACACACGCACACACACACACACACATACACACACACACACACACACACACACACACACACACACACACACAGCATTGATTTGTCTACACGTCCAGTGGGTCTCGGTGGTGTCATATAAAAAGGCGAAACCGGACTGACACAGGCCTCAGAGTGTGTGACTGCTCTGTTATTGACGTTTTCTGCTGCTGCAGCATCCGAGTGCTTTTGGGGAGTACGCTGAAGGACCTGATCTCTACCAGCCTCAGCGAGGAGTCCTGCTTTTGATGTAGGTCTGTTCTGCATGCAGCCGTATGCGTCTTCCTGCACATAGCAATAATTATCTTCAACGCATATAGACGCCTCGAAGGTTTTGTTATTTCAAAATAAAGGGCTTTGTAAATGAAGACCGATTAAATATATGATATGTAACTCATTTATTTATGGTTTGAATAATAGGTACTAATCCATTTGCATTTGTTTTTCCTTTTGACTTGTTAAATAACATTTTAAAAATATCCAGTGAAAATTGTACTGTTGTATTGTCCATACGTGGTAAATGTTTTATTGTGAGTGGCATCGCTGCTCTTAAGAATTTAGTTTTATGTACAGTATTAACAATATGTGAAGGGAACACGATAGAGACTGGATGATATTTATGGCATGATGAGTGAATGTTGTTGCTACAAAGTAAAAAAAAAACTTAATTAATGACTTGCTAAAGTTTGTGACAGGAGACTGAGATCTTTCACAACATGGCAACACAACGTTGTTGGTATTATGGTGTGTACTTCATCCGTAGAGTTTAGATCCTATTACAAATGGTGACCTATTAGAAAGGGACATTACAACTTTTTAAAGTTGAATGTTCTGAAACAAACCAAAAATCCGAGGGAAGAAGTAAAGGTTATGCTTTGCAACCAAAGTCCCTGGCTGGAGTTCAACTGGCTTAATGGAATGTATTTGGACAACTTTCAAGTCATCACAATAGTCCAGAGATCTGATTTAAGCGAATCAATGCAAAGCCTCCAGAAGTTATTTAACATTCTTACTAATCGCTGCTTGCTTTGAATTCCCCCAAAGATCAGAAGCTTTTATCCTGAACCAACTCATTGACAGTTAGGACTGTTTGTACTCACATATTATGCAATAGTTATTGATAATTAAAGCTTTGGCTGCCTTACTGACCATTCTTTGTGAGTTTATTGTTTTATTTTATTGCAACATGCAATCAAATTAAAGGGGCCCTTGGCAATGCTGTACTCTGGAAAAGCCTTAAAATATATTGCAGTTAAACTATATGAGATATGAAAGAACGTAAAGGCCTTTGTCGTTGCAAGGATTTTACTTACATTATCTCCTTGTATCGGACAATAAGTTGTGAAAGTCAGTGATTCAGTCAAACGAACAAGGAACAACGTGAGGGAAGGGGAGAGGTAAATCCGTTCAAACTCACGTTAAAACAAGTATCCATCATATGAAGTAAGTTGCACTGCATAACGATCCTCTCCGCAGGCTTTCTGTGGCGCACGATGTGTCGGCTCCTGGACGTCCTGCTGGCTTCGCTGAGTCGCTTCCTGTTCGCGGTGCACGGCGTGGTGACGGTGTGGCGTGTGGTGGCGGTTAAAGAGGAGCCACTCTACTGGCTGCTGCTGACGGGCGTAGCCCTGCTGGGCGTGGAGATGGCTGTCACTCTGAAGTGCACCCGAAACGCAGAGTGGAAATGGTAACATTTTGGTCATTTTGGGCCCAGATTTGACCTCTATTCAAACTGCATTCTCTGCAGCCAATACAAACTTTATTAGCTATGCTGCTGTGCTAGCAGTCCTTTAGTCGCCCCATCTAACCCTCACTCTGATGGTTGATATGTAACAATTGCGTTACAGGCACAAAAACACGTCCAGCTTAGGCTGAGGAGATGTTGCTAGTTTTGAATATTCCTGCTAAAATAAGAAATAAAAGGTCACCAAAGTCGTTAGATTTCGTCATCTGCAGTCTGCAAAGTCCTCTATAGAAAACGTCCCTGTTCCCAGCAGTCCCCTGAGCTTATGTTGAAATATTTCAGTTTGGACCAACCAACGAAAAAGCCGTCATCCCAACGCTGCCAAAATGCCAAAAAAGTTCCATGACAGACAATGTCAATAGCATTATACACTGCTCCACCGACCTCACCCACCTGCAGAGTAACTCCACTGGGTGGTGTGTCTTTGTTCGGCCATGCATGGCTGGTAAAGGAAGCCGAATGAACCGTACAGCATTTCCAGCAGAAGACACCTTTTCAGAGGCTTATTTGATACATGTAATCCTATCCTGGACCTGCTTCAGCTACAATGACCAGAAATGTGTTTTCAGGCAAAATAACCATTTACAAACCATGTATTTTTAATTTGTAAAGCAAGGACATGGCGATTAAGGTGTGAGGGATGTGATGGCGAGTAAATAACTCTTTGCAACCCATCTGCTAATGTTCTCTACGGCCTATAATATTCTCTCTCTCTCTCTCTCTCACTGTCTATCAAAAACAAATCTATTCCTCTGCGGTGTTGTTGCTCTGTGTCTTCTCTGAGCTTATGCTCTGAGCCTGACGTGGCGTCTCTGTCACTGTCGCTCCTTTCCAGTGGTGGAGAAAACGTCTGCTGCTGGCTCAAGCCGTTTTTCCTGTCCAGCTGGATTAAAAAAAGAACATTTTTTTTTTGTCATTTGAGAAACGGAAACTGACACCAACGTATATTATGCAAGTCTCAAAAGGATATGAGCATTTAGTGTCACACCTCATTCAACGTCAAGCTCATTCAGGAGCTCCCTGACACACACAGTGAACATCCCCGGACACGAGCTTTCTTCGGGCCTCTCTCTTTCTCACTGAGTCTCACTTTGAAGTCCTCTCCTCGTAGAGAAGGCTTTGCACTGTCAAGAGGGATTTGCATATATGATGAGAATAATTGCCTGCCTGAAATTCGATGCTTCTTTTGCAGCAAAAAAAAACTTTTTTCTTCTTAAGCGGGTGGAAAGTGGAAAAAAAAGAAGGATGTCCCTAAAAATAACTTTCCCCCACCTTTCCCCCAAACACCCTCCCTCCCTCTCCTTTGACGGCCCCCTTTCCAGGTTCTCCCCCATGGTTTTCCTCTACCTCAGTACTGTCATCCCGTCCATTTGGTTCCTGGAGCTGAGCCTGCTGCAGTCCAAGCTGCCCGTCAACAATTCCTCAGGCCCCGAGCTCCATCCGCTGGCTCGCATCCCGATCGCCGCGGTAGGCGCCGCCACCAAAACAACTGCATGCAGCCACATCCAGGCAAACACCTGATATCAGATCAGATTTAAATCAGGCAACTGGGCGGATAAACTATTAGTTGCAGGAAATGTGTAATTGAAACAGCGAGATCAAGTCCAGATAGGCTCCTGCTCGGAAAACTCTCAGATCTCTCTTCTTCCAGGGTGAGTTTAGTGCAGTTTCTTTCATGTAGGATTTGGGAACTTTTCTGCCCCTTAGCTGTGCTGGAGGCCAGGCGGCAGCTTTTGAACGTGGTAGACGGAGACGGTTTTGCTAATGTTGTGGAATGTCGAGGGGTGCTTTCAGGATAAACTCCATTATCAGTGCAACGGGGAGCGGCATCACGAGTCACGTCGAGATTAGAGAGGAGATGTTTTGTGGAATGGATATTGACATTTCTACCGAGGAAAATTCAAAATAACAACATCTCAATGGTTGATTGGTCAAAAAGTAAAAACATATCAGGGAAAGACAATCCAGATGCAATTATCATCAGAGACAAAATGTGTGAAAGGATTTGTTAAACTTGACAAAAGCCCTCATAGCCCGATGCGGCTGTGTTCTTCCCCCAGGCCATCGTGGAGCTGGAGCCGGAGAACTGGGTGGCCGGCCTGGAGCAGACCATGCTCATCGTGTTGGTTCTGGGTCGCTGGCTGATGCCCAAGGGGGACATGTCCCGCGACCAGCTCTCCCAGCTGCTTATGGTCTATGTGGGACTGGGCGCCGACATTCTGGACATCTTTGACACCTTCAAGGAACCCGAGGTCCAAACCAACCAGACAGTTGTCTACATGGGCCTGGGCCTTTTTTCTTGGGCACTGATGCAGTTTCCTCTGGTGCTGACCCAGACTCAACAGGGGGAGCCTCCACAGGGGGGTGAGAATTGTGTCGCCCGCCTCCCTGCTCCTCCCGTTACCTCGGCCTCCTGCTGCTCCAACGAAGTGTGGAGCCTGCTGCTCACTGTGGGACTCCAGGACGGCCCGTTTCTGATTTACCGGCTCTACCTGATGCTCCAAGAGCAGGTGCTCAACCAGCTCATGATCTTCTTCACCTGCAAAAACATCCTCATAGTCCTCTTGGAGCTATACAGGATTTTCGTGGTGCAGTGTGAGCAACGCTTTGGCGATTCGGAGTTGGGGAGGTGTTCTGCTCTGGTGCAGCAGTGTCAAACCCGGAGGGTAAGGGAGGATGAGGAGGCGGAGGCGGAGGAGGAGGAGGAGGGAACAGGTGGAGAGCAGCAGAGCTTTCATACAGACACTGAGAGGGTAACTGAGAGAGAGGAAGATCCAAAAGGTGTACAGGTAATGAAAGGCCCCAAAATGCAGCGAGGCACGTCTCCAGCCCTCCGGGGGGAGAGGACGCCTTTCACACAGCGAGCAGGAAAGTCCAAATCTTCTGCATCTCCACCTCGCTCAGAGACAGCCAGCTCTCTGGAGGTTGAGGGAATAGAAATAGAGCACAATAGAAGCGAATGAGTTCTCACTGAAAAGATCAGAGAGCAACCCCACTTTCCAAGAAGGGAAGAAAACTATAATTCTACAAGTTCACACTTGGATTCATGAGACCGGTGACAAGAGAGCTGGAACCAAATCACGGGGGGTTTGTGCTCGATTTATTCAATCAACAGCAGCTTTCCAGCAGCTCATGGAACTATTGTAATGACGTGGGGTTTGACAGTCGGCATTAAACAGACCTAATGAATATGCTGGACTAAGATGAGGATAACATGCCCTGCCTTAATAAACTTTTCTTAATAAAGATACTTCGGAAAAGCCATGTGCTGTTTTTTGGTTGTTGTTCTTTCACTCTGATCACCATGAGGTGGCAGTGTTGCCAAGTCAACCAAAGCACCACACACATGTACATTGTTGACTTGACAGGAACATGCATGCCTGGTACATAGAAAAAAAAGAACAAACCGGTGAGCAAGCAGCACGGTGGCACAGCTGCAGCATCCAACTCCCTCAGTTGTTTACTTCATACATGAAAATCACCCCAATGAAACCTCTCCTCTGATACAGTGAGGAAATAAGGCATCTGATGAATTTGTTTAAAAAAGATCTAGTCACTTTCCGGGTGCGGGTTTTTCATAAACATTCAGATGAAGACAATCGAGAGACGTCTCAAACAGTATAACAAGTGGGAGGAGAGTGAAGAGGTTTGGTTCATTTGACAAGGTTCATTTTCCTCTAGAGCTCAATCAGCCTCGTTCGAGAGCTCGGTGCATTTTTATTATGTCTGAAAAAGCACACTCGTGATTATGTGGGAGTTTCGCTCTCCCTTTCTCTCTTTCCGAGAGACGGAAAAGGGGCTTTTGAGACGTATACCCGGGGCCCAGAAATGTTTAAACCGAAGCTCTGTGTCTTGAGGTTCGCTGCTACTTCAGAGTGGGAACAAGCCGAGCACCCCTTCCCCCCCCACAACCCCCCGTGCCCTGCCCCCTCCACTCCCACCTCAATCCAGACGATCCCTCTGCTGTCAAACCAGGGTTTAGATGCAGCCCCTCTTGTATTTTTCCCTCGGCGAGGCGGCGATTGGAACAGAGGCCTTTCCCGCCCTGCCCGGCGTCCCGGTCCAGCTGCACGGGCTCTTTGTTCTCACGGAGCTCTCAATGACATAAAAGGCTGAAACATAAAGACTAAATGGAGGAGACGGTTTGTGTGCGCGCCCTCCCTTCGGTTGTAACGTGCTCGATTTTTTAGAAAACGAGCAGGATGTGATCCTGATCCTGGAGTTTCTCCAGTCAACGGCTGTGCGCTTCTTTCAGGAGATTTTCTGGAGAGCACCACTTTTATTCGCTATTTCATCTTTGCGGCGGCACTTTGGTGTAAATTATTGATGGTGGAGCCAACTAGTAAAAGAAAGAAGAGGGGGAAAAAAAATGAATGTCCCCATTGAGATGTTGAGTACAGGCTAATGCTCAATTCACAAAGTCACTCCCAAGCAAATGACATCGGGCGCAGCCGAGACGAGGAGGCCGCTGCTTCTTCTAAGGACCTGAGGTTTGCGAGAATCCGATATTGGCCGTGACAACGGGATGTGGGCAACACAAAAGGGTGATGAAAGAGTCGCTTGCTTGTGAAAGAGTCCTTTTCCTCTTCAGATTAACTGCATGCTTTAACAAGATTGTGTGGGCAAGTGGGAGGATGGGGATGTCAGCTGATGCGCGGGCTGCCCTACATAGATAGAGAGGGAGGGAGAGAGCGTGGAAACTCAGAGCCTGCAACTCAATTGCACATGGACATGAAAAAATAAAAATAAAAATAAATCAACCCTCACGGGGACCTCGACTGAGAAATAACTGCTCACACGGCAAAGAGTGATGCTGCCTCCAGGTGCTGCTTGAAATCTCTCGTCTGATCAATTCATTTAGCAAAGCAAAGTCCTGGCGTGTGATGTCGTTTCCCCCCATCCCCGCGAAATATTTCAAAACTGTCTGTTAATACGATAGGAAGTTTCCCGAGGACAAACCGGAGTGACTGATCCCGGTCAACGCGCCACTTGGTTGCAGTGATTTAGCTCCGTGCTGGAACAGATCTCGCTCTCCCGGGATGAGAGCGAGGTTTGCATCCGTGTGTCACACCATTGTGAAAATAACGGATGCAACTTGTGGCGCGTTCAGCAGTATCTCCAAGTATTCTCCAATGTACGTAAAATACAAAATGTATCCAGTCTTACTGCTTTCTAGGCACTGGTTAAACCCCCAGGGGGCCCATCGCAAAGCTGAGCTGTTTCCCGCCACCTATAAAGATGCAAAGTGTACCATCTTGCCAGAAGGTTAGATTTAAGCATAACATTCATTTTATCCACAGAATGCGAGGAGACGACGGCGTTAAAGGTATCTCAAAGACGTGTATGTACTGTATGATAGATATATATATATTTAAAGGAGCATTAAAATTAAAATGTATAGCACCTTTTCTAACACAGGATCAGCTCCGAGAGTCCCGGCGGGACCTGGCTGAACTTTGCATATTCTCTATATTCTTGCCCTGCTGTTTAGTTTATTTAAATATTTTTTTATAAAATTTAGATTGCATGCAAGCAGTATTGGAGTTGAAATGCTGCTGGGATTTCTGGGACTAGTGATGAGCTGTCTCCATTACAAGCTCTGGATAAAACTTAAAGTGGACCACGAGTCAATATTTTTAGCTCAGCTGCTGTTTTTTAGCGTAAGGACAAAGTTAAAAATGAAATGAACAATTAATCAAATTGGCCCGAGGCAATGGCCACAGAGTAAACTCCTCTGAGGGCCTCTGAGGTTCTGGGGACAACATTTAATAAAGCCTCGTGATGTAGTGGCTTTATATCTTTTGCGTTAAACTTTGCAGAAGTGGAATCAAGAGGCATTTCATTGACGTCTGGATTCATTGTGACATGAGTGGATGTAATCAAATGCAGAGCATGTGCAGAGATCCTGTAATTGCTTTCACGTTCCTCCAAAAGAATGCATTAAGTCGCCGCTTTATAGTAATGAAATGAAACCAATTGAGTTATGCTACAATACTCAAATTAGTTGCCACAGATTACAATAGTTTCTAATGATAATGTATTCAAGAGAGATTCACCATTCACTCAACCTGAGCAGGTACATTTCACCAGCACGCAGCGTCTCCACCACATGCCACAGTTTCCCCACTTTGTGTCAACTAATCAGAAAGCCCGAACACGCCGAAGTGCGCCTCGTCATTTTCCAAGACAAACCTGTCAACGTGCCGCTGAAACGTTGCAGCTGGAGAGGAGGAATGAAAACAAAAGCAAACTTCAAATGCGCTCCCCAACTTTCTGACAGTTAGCTGAGGATCCAGAGCGGATGTATCGCCATGGATGGCAAAATAATGAGCTTCACTTCACTGGTTGTTGATCAGGGATGTTACATGGCTCCTCGTGGCTGTTTTCACATAGAATAGACTTTTGCGGACACACTGTAACGTAAACGTCCAAATGAGGAAACATCTAATAATGAAATAACTCTGCTCTGCACACTGCTCCCAGGACCAGTGCGGACCAACGCACATGAATTACCCACTTTCATCCATGAGGAACATCGCTGGTCCTCAAGGATTTCAGCCGCCCCTCAAAGTTGTAGAATCAGGTACATGGAAGATGTGAGCCAAACATCTGGCTTTTGCTTTTAACAGTTATTATAATACGCTTACGTCATTTAATACTCGTCTCAGTGTATTTATACATTCACAGTGGAGGAAGAAGTTTATTTAATGTTAAATCAGAGATTGGACAGGAACAAGAACCCTCCATCCTGGTGTACTACAGCACTTGGCCATCACTGCCAGAGGTTGGGTGAATCAGGGCAGATGTGGAGGTGGAGTGAGACGTTTTCCCATTGGAAGATCGACCGTCCTGACTAAACCCAGTACAAGGCCGTACCATTGGTATATAAATATGTAGCCTACAGACGGAACACTAAGACTTTATACAAATGCAAGTCCATTTTCCATTTAAAAGTATCCCCTCATATTCTCAATAAGTTTGCTAAATCCAAAAACAAAACAAAGTCGGAGCAGAGTAGGTGTTGGAGTGTGTCAACATGTTGTCCCTCAGTCTTATTTATATTCATTTCATTTTCCTCCGGCTTTAATTGCTTGTGTAAACCTATTCTATGCAGAACGCAAAAGTAAGCAATGAATATGAAATTCCTTTCTAAACCGAGCATTTAGAATTCTTACCCGTGTGGCACTTTTGAAGATAACTGTTCCGACAGTTAGCAGTCTGGTCAGTCAATCGCAGGCCGCAGAGGATGCATTGTTGAAATATTAATTGGCCGCCTCCTCTGCCGTCCCTCGGTTTCCTCCGAGCCGGGAGAGCTGCCACTTTACCCGCTTCCAACCTACAACATGGCCTCTGGTCATAGAGGCCGGGGTCACGTCGGGACACCGTTTCTAATGAGGAAATGCAGTCGTCTGTCTGACTGGACGAAAAATAATTAGGGCAGTTGGGAGCACTCCACGGACAAACGTTTTTGGAATTCAGTTCAAGTGTTGCTGAGCCATATGCCTCGCGATATCCCCGCAATGTGTTTCCCCGATGCCCTGATTCTGTCCTCCGCGCAAACGCAAAGGGGGCCGGCTACTTCCTACTCATGTGCAGCAACTCAACCAATGCAGCCCACAGATGGTCGTTGGTGAAAAGACAAGTATCTTCATGTAATATTCACAGTGGGTGTCATGTGCAAAGGGCATAATATAAAGTAGTGGAGCACTGTTCAACTTGAATTTAAATAATTAGGCATGGAGAATGTAGCCTGGTTCACTGGATCCACTCTTTCTCGATCCATTGAGTAAACACTCATTCAGCACATGATATTTGAATTTAAACAACAGAAACGGAAATCTCTCCACATGGGATGACTTAACATTAATGTTAACACAAAGGCCCGGCACCACCCACAGGCGCTTTCAGTTACTTTGGCTCTGCAGCGGGTTGATGTTGGAATATGCGTGATGCACGGGATCCCTTGAACCAATGCGAATGGAAAATATTTTCATTCGTTGGACTAAAAGCATGAGTGGATGGTTTGTGCACTGGAGTAAGAACGCCAGATTCAATACTTATTCAACAGATGTTGAGAAGAAAATCTATTCAAATTCAAACAAGCAAGAATGAATGCGAGATTCCTAAAGATTCTGTTGATGGTCAAAGCCTTTGTCTAACTTGATAATCAGATGGAAATGCTGTGCCATTGTATTTATTATTTATTATTTCTGGTTGGGAAATTATTGTTTGTCGGGCAAACGTGCCTTAAGATGAGGAAGCAA